TTTGAAAATTTTGAGCCAGCCCTACCCCCAAGGGCTGGAGGTGCTAGTTTCAAATCCTTTTTAGTCTGAAATCTGTATGCTAGATATTGAGTAAGGTGGTTTTATTGTTTTTTGTCACTTTGAATAATATTTCTGTTCATGTTAAAAACAAAATCAACTCTCTGTATAAATATATCAGGTGACCGTTAAGGCCCATGGGCCTCTTGTTGGTATAGTAGTATCCCTTTAATGTGTGGTAAGCTGATTGATTGATTTGGAATGCATACATTATATTTGTTAACAAAATCCCTACCTTTAACTTCTCCAATAATTTGCCTAACATTCAAGGGGGAAAAAACATCTAAACAACAGCTTATATCTTTTCTGAACTTTTCAAATGGGTTTTCCTAAGAAACATGTCAAATTCAGTAAGTTCTATAATTGTTAAGATGATTTGGGACTTCTAGGCAGGTTACATAGTTATGTTATTATGACTACTTTTTGTTAAAAAAAAAAGATTTTCTTTTGAATTCATGATGTCATATTTCAAAAAAAAAAGGTTCTTTGTTTAAATGGGTTTATAAGAGATATCATACTTCGTAAATATTTTATTCTTTTCACAGTAAAGAGATTTGTTATACATATCTTGTGTTACAATTAAGCTAATAATGTTTCTCTTTTTGTTTGTTTCTACTTTAAAAACTAAATACTAGTATCATGTGTACCTCCATTGATATGTATACATATTATACTGACATTCTGTCAATATTATCTCAGGGTTCACAATAAGCTAACAGGATTCTAAGATGCACTATCAAACATCTTGATATGGAATGTAACGAGCGTCAGTTAAATTGTAAAAAGTATATCTATGAAAGTTACACCTGTACCGTATTTGCCGTAATGACTATCCTCCTCCAGCAATAGGAACTATTTCATCAGGATTGTTTCTACTTCCTGTATTGACTGTACCTGTAGGTCATTCCTCTTCAATTGAGTATAGGCACCTTAATTTAATATTACCACCAGTAATATAGGCACCTTAATTTGATATTACCCCCAGTAATATCTTCTAAGGACAAAAGATATTCTATGAATTGAAATTATGCATCAGGTGCCAAGAATGAGTTACAGTAGAATAAAAAAATTCAGAACTCATAGAAATTCTTGATTCTGTAAAGGTCTATATTAAGTGCCTGTCAGACTGTCAGTTTTATAAAGGGGGATATCTACATGTATGTACGGCAAATACGGTACCTGAAACTACAGAGCTGACACAAGTTATATTGTACATTGTAATAATATGGTCTTACATGAAGTTAATGGTTTTCCCTTTTTTATTACATTTTAGCATGACAAATTGATGCGATTGCCAAGCCACTCTTACGACAAAAACGATCTTGCTCGTAGCCTCAGTGTGGCAGGAGATTGCCCAGAAGAAGTTGTGGAAGCAGATGACTATTTACAGCCGCAGTCTCGTAATTCAGTGCCTCCGACAACACCACTCACATCAAAGGTAAGTTTGTGGTGTTAATTTCTTTGATTTACATGATCCTTGATTGCAGAAACAAATCGGGGGGTATCATTCCTCCTTAACGATTTGATTAGAAAACACACTAAAATAGGTAATCATTTTCAGAAGAGATGTCTAGGGCAAGAACACTATTATCTTTGGGCTTAGTGACCTCTACCTTATCTAACAGTTTCTATTGGTGGAAATCATGGAATAAATTGCACTCTGTCCAAGAGACTAAATGCTAAATGTTCAGCAATTTTAGGGTTAGTGCAATGACTAATTGACCCGTTGTCAGTTTCTGTGACCAGAAATAGTACTGTTTGGGACGCTTTCATCCTAACATTTCAGTGAGTCAGCATCAGATCTGCGCTATTGTTTGGATGCAAATACAGTAACATACCCCTTCAAGCACATAAACATGCATTACACACATGAAGCAATGTCCTTAAATGACCTTAGCCGTTAACATGAAACCATCTTACACATTTATATATTTTATTGCCAAGCCGGAGTTATTTTATTGCTTTTGAAACAGGAAAACAGTCCTTCTTTGTCCCTTGTTATGAACGTTATATGTAAACACTCTATGATTGACTGTTGCGATTTTTAACAACATCGAGTGCAGTGTTATCAAGCTTGTAACAGAGACTGGCTTGTTTGCTAAATTGGATGTCACTACCATTTTGAACAAGAACCTAATTACGGTGAGGCAAATATTATTAATTTATACGTTAGATTCTATTAACTGATCAGTCTTTTACAGTATGTATCTTCTATTTCAGACACCATTACTGCACCCTCAGGATGCTGCCACAAATTTTGATACCAAGGATCGAGACCCTCACCAGCAGCCGCGACGAGAGAAAAGATACGGACATCTCGAGTCCGCAGCTGCTGCTCGTAAAAAGCGAGAGTTATCCCCAACTAGAGGAAGGGGCAATAGCATTAATTCTCGCTACAGTTCAGATCCCGTCCAGTTTTTAAGAGGAGGAGGTAGGACTTTAACTTTATTAAAAGATTGAATTATTTTTCTGCACACACCTTTTTGGAGATAAGGAAGTTGTCCTTTTTTAAAGACTCAACTGTAAAAGATATCATTATATTTAAATTGAGATCTGCTGATAATTATCAAATTTTGATAGATTAATAAAAAGTAAACATCTGTTAAATTTGTAGAAGAGACAGATGCTGTGATTTTGTCTCCGAGTCGGAAAAGTCCCGTCAGGAACGGCTCCATGGGTTACCCAGACCCGACCCAACTAATAGAGTCCGGTAAAATCCAGCTCCCAGTGGACGAGGACGACTACTTACAACCAAAGTCATCAAAACCCAGAGTGTACACTGATCTGATAGAGAACCCTGGTAAATATACATCCTATATACCTGTACCGTATTCAGGTAAATAAGATCCCCATCCCTTTTAGAAACCCATAATTTTTTTATCTATTCTGTGATTCTCATCTTTTCACCATAATTTTATTTAAGTGACTTTAATATATTTGTATTACTTCTTTTTTTTTGAGAAATGAAAAAAGTTCTACAATCTTTCTAGCTTTTCCAATTTGCTAACCTGTCAGGGTGCATATTACTTAAAAAACCAGATATTTAACGCCAAACCAGATATTTAATGTCAAACTTAACACTCACCAAAACTCAGGAAGCATTAGCTGTTAAAATATGTTTTTAAAATTGCAATTAACTCATCCCCCCTGATAACACATGTGTACTCTTCCAATTCAATGGTTGGAATAGTTCATTATGCAATTTCATGGGTGAATGAGTTAAACACATTTGTGTAAACTCCCTTTTACATACAGTTTGTCTAAGCTGAAGCTCAAGGGGGCTGGTACAGACCAATGATTGAAGAGCAGTGTATTAATCAAAGCTGCATTTACCTAAGTTTGCAATAAATTGATGACTTTTTAAAACTCCTAAAACCATGATCCTTTGGAATTTAAACTTTTTGATTCATATTTGTTTCTGTCAAAGTCACCCCTGTTGATATACTCCCAGGCCATCTATCAAACAGCAAAGGTGTTGGCTAATCATTCAATGCCTTCAGTGGGTAGTTGGGTGGCACACTTGCCTTTCACCAAGGCGTCCAGGGTTCGATTCCCCGATCAGACGTGATAAGGTATGGGGTCACCTGCCCGACCACGTAGGTTTTCTCCTGGTACTCCAGTTTGCTCCCACATAAAGACCCCTGCCCACTAACATCCGGGCCAACAAAAGTGATTAGTATAAGTTGAAATATGACTTGTTTCATAATTCAAATTGTCAAAAAGAAAAAGATTTTTTTTTCAATGCCTTCCCTAACTGTGATTGAATACCTTAAGTGAGGCTTAAATTGAAGTTTTAGTTAGCTTAGCGAATATTCAGAATGATTCAAATGGTATCAACATACTTTGAAGTATCCTTAAACATAATTCAAGTTTTGAATTACATGAATTATTTGATAAATAATAGGAATTACTTCTAAAATGATTTATGTGTTGGGGCTTAGTTATTAGATAGAATTTGTCATAAAACTAATGTTTATTATGGACTGTTTTTCAGATTACATGAATGACAACAGTGTTTTTGAGAACGATCCACCTTCAGAACCGGAACCCGTCCTCAATTTTGAGAATCCAGAATATTTTGAAGATATCAATAGTCCAAAAATTAATGGTAAAAAACCTCCAGGCTTTAAAAATAACCGGAGTAGAGACTATTACAATGAATTGGGTGGACAGAACAATGAGCACGGGGAACTGAAACCGTTAATGATATCGGACAGCTGTCCTTCTGAATCGGCTGTGTAGTCATGGACCGAGAATGATGACATCTTGTCGTCATAGCTCCTAATACTGCCAAAGTTCTGTGTAGATTTGTAACACTTGGTTGTGTAAGTGCAGATGTACCGAGAAGAAAAATCAGTACAGATGTACTAAGCAGAAACTTGACTGCATCATCAACTATAACGTGTCAAAATAGACAAAATCTCAATGAAAATATGTGAGTGATTCTAATTGGTCCATGGAACAAACAGGAGAAGAGGAAATGTGGATAAGTTAATGTGATTGGTCCTTTGTGACCTCAGGTGACCCCTAGTGACCTTTGGAAAAGGCCATATCTTGAAGATATGGACACAAGATTCTCCGATCTGATATGGTCATGAAAGGGTCTATTTTAAGAGTTTCTAAACCTTCATAAATTCGCAAGATGTGATAGATTTACATGTGGGAATATTGTCCATGATTGTATGGTCACATGATTGGATGGTCACATGATTGGATGAGAAATATCACATGACTGTAGTTGATGGATATCTTTGATTGTATGGGGTGAAAAATCTCATAGAAAAGTGCCATCTTTTCAAAGTATATTTTCTTTTGAAAGTGACAGACAACACCTTTGTAAGATGACCTTGACCTATTACAATAATGTTGTAAAGGTTATGATGTGTGCTTCAATGTGGACCAACAACAACACAATGGTGTGTCATCACATCTGTTGCTAAAGAAACCAAAGTGAATGGGAATGAAATTTGAGTCATACTCAACTTTGATTGGTTGTTAACAAGAAATTGCCATAATACTTACACTATCAGAGTGGCCTGTTTACTATGCTGTCAAACGTTGTATTTAAATGTGACGAAAGGGCTGTTGTTATATTATGTTATCACTGTATTTTAGTGTTATCTAAATTAAACTGAAAATGTTTGAACACGTGGGATATGCTAAATGTATTTTACAAAATATTTCCCGATTTTCCCCCTCAAATGAATAGGGATCTGTCTTGGTTCGGTGAAGTCTTCAATTGAAAACAACAAAAAAATCTGTTTTATTTTTACATGAAATAACTGAAATTTCTGACAATCACAGGTACTAGCCTCGTCTGTCAATACACATGTAAGATTTTATTATAGGTGTATTGACAGACGAGGCTAGTACCAGTGTTTCAATCACTGTCTGTATAATTATGTGAGTTACAAAAAGATCGGGTTCTTGCGAGAGTTTGAAAAACCCAACTGTTCTTGCTCTTTAATCCTTGTTATCCCCATGGAGCAAACAAGAGTTATGTTCCTTTGAAAGAAAAAGCTTACCTCTCCTTGAGGAAGAAGTACTCAAGGAGCAACCAATATTTGACGTAAATCTATGTATCTATGCAATCTTTGATCTTGATCTTTGTCAATATCAGATGTTTTGTAGCTGTAATTGAAATGTGTACCGATAAAAACACTGTATAACTTACACAAATATTACACGCGCCATGTTGATGTCTTAATCTACATGATACTTGCTATTAATGGACATTTTAGTAGCTTACCGAATATTCTGAGTGAACAAAGAAATGTTTGTCAGGAAATTAAATGTGTATATTTTAAGAATGTTCACCCCACCTATCAAACAAAAACAAAAATAAACAAACTAAAATAAGCTCATCGTATTTCCTTTTGGGAAGGAATAAGGGTAAAATAATAGACCCACCAGTATTTGTAGCTCGTACTTACTACCTGATGATAAAATCCGTCCTCCGAAACATATTATCATCAGTTTGAAACTTAATTCATGGCACAAGCTTCATCTGAGAGAAGACTATTAAGGGAGAATTTCACGTTGAAATTGAAAACGCTGAGCTTTTACTGAGAATTTGGCTCTGAAAATATTTCAGTTAAATTGGCTCTGATGTTTTTCACTGTGAAATTAACACGGAGCTTTCATTGTGGAATTGGTTCTGCTATCTTTCCGTTTTCATCGCGTGCCTTCTATTAGGTTTCAATTTCGATGTTTATATTGGTTATTTTATGCCTTTTTCAAGTATATTAAAAAATGATATTTCTGGTCACAATAATTAAAAATTATACTAGAAACTGAATTTTAAACAACTTTTATTAATCAGTATTTCCCAGATTTAGTTCTTGCTGAAATTAAGAAATTTTGACTGCTTATTTGTACTTCAAGTTTTATCAAATGAAAATTTTAAAGCCAAAGAATTTTAGAAACTTTTAAGATGAGTTTTCATGGTTCTGGCGTTTTATACGAAAAAGGAAAAACACATAAATGGATAAATGATTTAAGCATGGATATATTTGGCTGACATTGCATTAAGGTAACGCAATATTTTGTTATAACTATGTTAATGATCATCACAAAGAAAGTAATCCCACCATTTCATTATTCGTTATGCATATAACCTTATCGATATGCAGAGAAAACAAACTTTGTGACTTCAGATTTGTAAAATAAAAGAATTAGATTTATGGTGAAAATAAAAAAAGGTTATTTGGGATGTTTTAAGCCTTGTTCCAGGACTCACAAAGTTCGGCTCTTCACCTGAAGTACATTCTAGTAGCATTGGACGCACAAGAAATCTGAACCAAAATCATATTTCTCAGGTATAGCTATTGTTTACGGAGTTGTTAAAGTTGACCCAGCCCGAGTTACACAGTCATTGACGAGTTGTTGAAGCTGATTTTCGGAGTAACTCTGTAGGGACAGAATTTGTCAATATGTTGTGAGAAAGATATCGAGCATGATAATACAATTACAGAAATATTGGAAACAGTGGTTCAAAGTCTGGATGATATTTTGGTAATTGATATATTGACAAATAACTGTCCTCTAAATTAGTATAAATGTATATGGTAACAAGCTATTGATGAGCGTATAACCACTGTGTAGTAATCCTTCCTGGATTATACACGTACTAATGTCATTAATGATTAACTGTATTGTTATGATGGGCTAAAAAGTGTCTCACACTTTGAATGCCCTGTAAAAAAAAAACTAGAATATAATATTATAGAACTAGCCTAGACCACAGATTATGCATGACTTAATATAACAATTAATATAATTACGTTTTTGTATATTGTTTCATTACTGCACTATGTACAACACTTGTATAGAACGGTAGTGTAAGATATTGTTTATGTGTATGTATATTATAGTATTTGTTAAACCGTTGTTGTTTTTGTCATTATTATTATATAATAAATTATGCATGTGATAGAAATATTACGATACAAAAGACAAAATGTATCAAATAAACATGTATTACTATGTTTTCAGCTGTACTATTTTGTATTTCACCTTTGGCACCTGCAGGTAATGAAGGTCGAGGTCATTCATGGAATCAATCTGGTTTGACCTTGTAGAGGATATATTTTGTCATGATTTTTGTTGAAATTGACATAATATCTTTAGTATGATTTTATTATTACCGTTATAATTTCCATTCATATAATCATGTCTTCCATGTATATCATGATTAAGTCATGTGACAGCAAGGTCGTGTGTATTGTATGGAAAAATATACCTTTTGTTGTTGATAAAAACTTAAGTTTTTCGAGTAACAAGCTCATTGACCTCCTTTGAGATTATATAATTTTTAAATCAAATAATAGATTACTAGTTTGATATTAGGTAATAAACCATTTAACATCTTCTAATTATTTGACTATTATTATTTGCAAATTATTTCTTAACTCTTGTAAACACGGTAAAACTTGCTGGATTGATGAAAAGTAGAAATGAAAGTTGAATATCGTTTATTTCTCAATTTTAAACCAATTTCTTACTACCCCTCTTCCATTTCTCAAATACTTCACAACTGCAGCCAAATTGTCAAAAATGTATATTATTCCAGTATTTATTTCAATTTCGAATAATGAAAGTTATTTGAATACTTCGTAACTTAGGGATTTGTTTAACTGGACCAGATGATATATTCAATTGGACCAAACTGAAATGAATTTTGATAATGACCCATGCAACAAAGCTTTTACATATTATTCCATTAAATTTGGCTTCAATCACAACTAAAAATGATATGGTCACGTCCTGCTTGGCAATACGGCAAAATGAACATAACTGTAACGTTAAAAAATAATTTGATCTTTTTCTTTCTAAAATCTATTGGGTTTCTAATGAACCTACGAGTAGTCTTTAAGTTAAGTTTTGAGGTCCTACCAAGGTATATTGAAAGATAAAATTAATAGGGTTACACTTCACATTAAACGTAATAGTCAAATGAAACTGGTGGAATCTTGCTTAAAGGAAAGTACTGTCCGTAAAATATGTGACATTGTGTCTAAAAACTAACGGACAATCACGATGATTCCTGTCTAGAAACCCTATTTCAAAAAGCTAGTGTAAATTCACCAAAGAGATTGCTGGTTGAATCAAGAATGTCTCATAATGTTTGAAATCCAAACTGTGCTGTTACTTGCTTCAAAAGAGTTTTATATTTATTTCAATGTGCTTATTTTATTGTCTGTATTGAAAAGCAGATTGGTATAATTTTTTTGATCTAGTTGATCATGATTAAGTGTAATTATCTGCATTGTAAAATGGATATTTACAATCAAAATGATTTAACAACCAAAAATACTTTTCCATGTGATCATGATTGTGGACAGCTATTTTTGTTTTGATTTGGAAAGTGTTGATGAACACAGTTATATTTGTACAATTTATGATGCAAAAAAGTTCAGCGTCAATATGTGAGTTTAATTGCTATAGTAAATGACTTTATTTTATATGTAAGTGAAAATAACCAAGAAAAGACAAAAGTGTGATCTATTCAATTAAAATCTTCACTATTAATTTGATTGTAAATGAAACGATCAGTCAAAACTGTGTCTGTTTATAATTCTACCATAGCAAATGTACTTAAAAGGATCTAAAATCAAAAATCTAAAATCTAAAGTGGGTGTTTGGTGGTGTTTCCTTTGAAATACCTTTTCGTGACATTGGAAAACAGCATATCAACGTTTTAAGAATCATGTATTATTTCTCATTGAAGACAGACATCATATTATTTAGTATCACTGTTGAGTTAAGAGTTTGACACCCCTTTATAGGTGTTGATGCCTCCGTCTGTACTGTAACCTCAGTGCCATTCGACTGTTAACACCATTTACTCTAGTCAGATATTTGCTCAGTTTCTCGTAATTGTAGGCGATTGGTTCGTGTTCTAAGTTGGGTCAAACTGTGTAAGATAATGACCAAGTTATGGAAACTTCCACTGTCTTAATTTTCTTATGAAGTTTATTCCAAAACATGGAATATATTAAAGTAGTTCACAATGTTAATTTTGAAAGTTGAAAGTCGTAAACACCAAATATCAAAACGGAAGAAAAACGGTGTTTTAATTGTGCTATTAATACAAAATATTGGATATGTAAGAATTACTTATTTCTATGTTGTAATTGTCAATGTTATCATCAAAGGTATTAAAATATTTCACATGATATATAGGAAATATTGACATGATTTAGGAGCTCATATAAATACAAGATCAACAAGTTTAATCAACCAGGCTGGAACATAGTGGCCATTCCCTACTTTTATATCACCTGATAGTTATATCACTAAATAATTGCTTTACTTGCAGTTAAATCTGTCAAACACATTGAATTAGACGATGAAGGATATGTTTACTTCAGGTTGTTTGTTCCCTTTAACAAAAAGTGCCTTATATACCAAATCTTTATCTTTTGTATCTCCCTTCACTGGAGAGTCTTGTTGATGAGACTTCAAATCCAGTTCCATGTATTGTTGATCCCTCTGAAGATTTCTTAATTTTCTCATTTTAAAACCCAATGGTTTATCCGTTATATGGCGTAATCACTAGGCTATTTTATAAATATCCTGATCATTAAATAAAAAACTGCAACCAAAACTTTATGAAAGGAAAATAATGTTTTATTAAAATAAAATTGAAAAAACGAGTCTTTAATTATTTGGTAAATATTCATTATGACCAATATTAGCACTAGGATATCACGATAATCTGATATTTAACGATGGTTCTTAGGACCAGTGGTTATATTTTCGACGATAATAAGGTTAAACTGAAGCCATGCTTATCATCTCTTCCTACTTCAAATCAGAATTCCTACTTCAAATCAGAACATCTACCGGCCTATATTCTCTTGGGAGCCATTCATTATTTATCTGTCGGGGAGCAGTCAATATTTAGTAATGCAATATTTTAAATTGACGGTTCCACCTCCATCCAATCCAGCCCTGTCGTTATTTGTCAGACAAACATCTCGTGTTTGATATGTTTGTGTTTTAATAAGGTCATTGTTTTAGTTACTGAAACGATATATTGTATTTTTCATTTTAATACAAATTAAGAATGTTTGTCATGGTTAAGATAACAATCCTAACCCTCCTCATTATCATCGTGATCATCATCATCTCTCTCATTGTGATTATTATGATTGTTTTAATGTGTACTAATGCACACATCATAATGTGTATGACGTTTCAGTGAGCTTGCATGCTTTACATAAAGACCTGTATTCTAGACAATAAAAGCTTATGTTTTGTCTGTCATACGAGATGTATGATATTTTTAAGATAATTATAATAAATTGTTTTAGCAGAAAAACCACATTGTGTTCTGTTTGTCTGTATGTCATTTAGAACAGAAAATGCTTAACTTAAACATATCCTTATCGAGCATGGAAGAAAAAGGAACTAAACAGAAATATCGTTAAGTTTGGTCAAAAACATGGTTTGTGGGTCTGGAGAAGAGGTTCTGATGATTGAAAATGTCATCGACACAAGCCATATTTTAGGGTGACAAAATCATCCTGCTATTATGTTAAAAATCCTAACGCTTACCTGATATATCAACTACACTAGGTAATATACACGACCACATCGGAGCGATAAATAGTTCACAGATTTTTCCATTTTTCATACTCTCACGATGGAATACTTACCTCCGGAAGGCACGTTCGACAAAGGCTTCATATTCTACCAAATCTCGGCTTTTACAAAAGGGGTTCTGTTGTTTTGCTCAAGACCTGTTATTTACTGGTTTCTTAAACTATCCAGGAAAACTTCTTTCTAATTAGCGCGACCGAAATGAAAGGTAATTAAATAACGAGCCAGAAAATCCAAAATGTAATACATTCAAGTACAACAAACTGGAGCGGAAACAATTTCTGTGATGTCATGTACTAGAGCGGAGTGATGTAGAAGTAAAAAGACTTGCACAAGTAGAATAAGTCAATGAAGAAGTGTTTCATACGTTTGTAGTTCTTAAATAATATTGAATCATGTTAATTACTGTACCTTTGTGGAAACTAAATGTGGAACTGATGGCAGATTTTTGAATGGATGTCACCTACGGGTACATAACCTGTTAAAAATGTATAGGTTTAGCGAATACTTCCTAAGGTATAGTTTTGTCGGATGTACACAGAGGTAAATAGTCAGAGGCGTGTTTTAAAGGGATACCGGTGTTGCTTGTAAACTTTTGATTGTCGAGTTTTGAATGCTGCGACACTTAACCTGCCAAAATATGCCCTTGGTAGCCTTTATTAGATATGTATTTATGAATCAAGACAACTGTCACTGATATTGAACTTCAAATATAAAAGCTATTTGTTTAAATGTTAAGTATAATAGCATATAGCAACTGATTTAGTTGCGCGAGTCCTAAAAAGGAAGGAGGGAGTAGATATTCCGTCAAGGTCCATCATCACTTTCGCTTGTAAACGTCCATGCGAAAATAGCATGCGCCTTTAATTGTAGCTATCACGCTGATATGAAAAAGTCTGTACACCTACCCAATAACAACTAGTGTAGCCTTTATCTGATATGTTTCTATTAATCTTCAACTAGTGAAACATTTCGTTGTGTGAGTTGTTATGTAGGAAGAGCACCATCTAAGTGTTTAACAAATTATAAACAAGTTAGGATGGAACCATCGCTGTATCAATTTTGTGATGAGTGATATATTTATTCCTGGAACAATGCTGTTTTTTCGAAAAGTATAATTACTATAATTGACATCAAATATAAAAAAAAAATGGAAAACATATTATCCGCCCCTTGAGGATAAATGGCTCTCGCCCCATACACTGTCAACAGAATCAGTTGACTCCGACTTGTAACAACATCGGTCTCATCAATGAATAATCTCGGAGGACACAATGTTTGGTGGTAATGTGTATGGAGGACACTTCCACATCAATGTGGTTCCAAAAAAGGACAACGTCAGTCATCCAAGAGCCATTAAACGAAGAAGAATCGTTTCAGAAAGCGACAGTGCCTAGTCCGACTTGGAAACGTGTGTGACCTAGATTCTGTACTTGCGCGCGCTATGACGCGACTGTCTGCCAGTCTGGCAAGGTCATGTTTTAGGTGGTTTTATTCAAGACAATGTCCCACTTGTATTACCAACAACAAACACGTATTTTCAATGTTAGTTTCCAAAGTTAAGCTAAAGCTGACATTGTAAATAATAAAATCAGTTGATACTACTATCTAATTATGTACAGATTTGGGAACTATATATGTCTCATCGCATTCTGTGGAATGATATTCTTATAACCGTGATTCGGTAACTTTTGATAAAGAAGGTGTTAAAAATAAAGAGTTTAAAATTGATGTTTTGTCATTTTTTTGACCATTTTTGGGAAATTATTTTCTTAACTATAAACGCAATAAAACTTACTTGATCGATGAAAAGTAGAAATGAAAGCTGAATATCGTTTATTTCTCAATTATAAAACCAATACAAACCTTTTTTCTTACTACCCCTCTTCCATTTCTCCAAAACATTAAAATTGCAGCCCCATTGTCAAAAATGTATCTTTATTATTCCAATATTTCATTCAATTTCGAATATTGAAAGTTATTTGAATACTTCGTAACTTGGGGATTTGTTTAACTGCACCAGATGTTATATTCAATTTGACCAAACTGAAATGAATTTTATAAATGATCCAGGCAATATAGCATTTACATATTTTTTCATTACATTTGGTTTCAATCAAAACTAAACATTTTATGGTCACGTCCTGCTTGGCAATACCAATATGGCAAAATGAACACAATTGTAACGCTGAAAAATGTTTTTTTCCTTTTTCTATCTAAAATCAATGGGGTTTCTAATGAACCTACGAGTAGTCATTAAGTTTAGTTTTGAGGTCTTAAATTGAAAGATAAAATCAATAGGGTTACACCTCACCTTAAACGTAATTGTTGTATGAAACTTGTGGAATCCTGCCAAAAGGAAAGTACGGTCCGTTAAATATTAGACATGCATGGTGTCCACAAACGGGCGGACAATCACGATGGTTCCTGTCTAAAGCTCTGTTTAACAAAGCTAGCGTAAATTCCTCACAGTTATTACTCTATTAATACCATGTACGACTACAAGATTGCTGGTTGAATCAAATATGTCTCATAATGTTTTAATCCAAATTGTGCTGTTACTTGCTTTAAAAGAGATTTATATTTATTTCAATGTGCCTATTCTATTGTCTGTATTAAAGAGCAGATTGGTATCATTTTTTAATCCATTTGGTCATGATTAATTGTAGATATCTGCACTGTAATAGTCAGAAGTGATTTAACTACTAGAAATACTTTTCCATATTATCATGATTGTGGACAAATATTTTTGTTTTTGATTTGGAAAGTGTTGATGAACACAGTTATATTTGCACAATTTATGACGCAAAAAATGAGTGTCAATATGTGAGTTTACTTGCTATTATACATGACTTTGATTTATATGTAAGTGAAAATTACCAAGAAAAGACAAAAGTGTGATTTATTCAATTAAAACCTTCACTAGTAATAAGATTGTAAATGAAACGATCAATCAAAACTGTATCTGTTTATAATTCTACCATAGCAAATGTACTTATTAGGATCTAAAATCAAAACTCTAAAATCTAAAGTGCGTGTTTCGTGGTGTTTCCTTTGAAATACCTTTTCGTGTCTTTGGAAAACAGCATATCAACGATGTAATATTTCTCATTGAAGACAGACATCATATTATTTAGTATCAATGTTGAGTTAAGAGTTTGACAACCATTTATAGGTGTTGATGCCTCCGTCTGTACTGTAACGTCAGTGTCATTCGACTGTTAACACCATTTACTCTAGTAAGATATTTGCTCAGTTTCTCGTAATTGTAGGCGATTGGTTCGTGTTTTAAGTTGGGTAAAACTGTGTTAGATAATGACCAAGTTATGGAAACTTCCACTGTCTTAATTGTCTTATGAAGTTTTTCCTAAACTGGGAATATATCAAAACATTTCACAATGTTATTTTTGAAAGTTGAAAGTCGTAAACACCAAATATCAAAATGGAAGAAAAACGGTATTTTTTTCTGCTATTAATATAAAATATTGGATATGTAAGAATTGCATATTTCTATGGTGTAATTGACAATGTTATCATTATCAACAAAGGTATTAAAATATTTCACATGCAAGATGTTTTAATAAAACAATTATTGACATGATTTAGGAGCGCATATAAATACAAGATCAATATATTATTTAAAACAGTTACTGCTTAAATCATTAATTTACTTGCAGTTAAATTTGTCAAATACTTTGAATTAGACGATGATGGATATGTTTACTTCATGTTTCCATTTAACAAAAAGTGCCTTATATACCAAATCTTCCAATAAATCCCTGTCATTATTTGTCAGACAAACATCTCGTGTTTGATATGTTTGTGTTTTGATAAGGTCATTGTTTTAGGTAATGAAACGACGTATTGTATTTTTCATTTTAATACAAATTAAGAATGTTTGTCATGGTTAAGATAACAATCCTAACCCTCCTCATTATCATCGTGATCATCATCATCTCTCTCATTGTGATTATTATGATTGTTTTAATGTGTACTAATGCACACATCATAATGTGTATGACGTTTCAGTGATCTTGCATGCTTTACATAAAGACCTGTATTCTAGACAATAAAAGCTTATGTTTTGTCTGTCATACGAAATGTATGATATTTTTAAGATAATTATAATAAATTGGTTTAGCAGAAAAAACGCATTGTGTTGTTTTTCTTCTGTTTGTATGTCAGCTATAACAGGAACACGAACACGAACCTTAAAATGTCCTTATCGAGCATGGTTGCCATTGGTTGAAATAGGAATCAAGCCGATATATTTGTTAACTTGGTCAAGAACATGCTCCGTGGAGTCGAGGAAGAGGTCGTGTTGATTGAAAGTGTTATCGCTACGAGCAAAATTTGGGCATAGGTTACCAAAGCATCCTGATATCATCTCCGAAATCAGAAATGTCTGTCATGTGAGATAAATGATATTTATAGGATAATTATAATCAAACTGCCTTCCGGATGATGCTGGTAGTTTATACTTCATTTAGTGACATTGACCTTGCGGTTTCCGTATAAGTTATTTCTCATAAAGGGACGTAACTCCCTTACAAAGGGTTGAAATCTGAAATTAAAATCCAGGTGCACAACTACTTAACATAATGATCAACTTCGTTGCGGGGGCTATGATTATTTTAGCAGAAAACGAATAGTTGTATTTGTTTTTCAATTTGTCCGTTGGGGTAGTGTCTTACGTTGATTTGTGTGCTGGCATTTTCATGTCACGACCGTTGGCATTTTCATGTCAGGACCGTTAATTTTTCTTATCCAGTAAAGACATTTTAGTGAAAATACAGAATCCATCAAGAGGCCTTGGACAAGATGGTATTTGCAAGACGAACACTTACAATATTAAGTTATGTTGGAAGATCGAATACATGATAATACATTTAGGAAAATATTTGAAACATAAATATACAGTGTGAAGGTGAGGGTTTCAGACAACTCCAAGGATGGTCAGAAAGTGAGGACAAACTTTCCATTATTTAAATCATTCCTTCGAAGTATTTCTGGTTGCACATAACTTCATAAATATATAAGTAATATTTGCATTGGCTTTTCTTGTTTTTCTGGCCTTGAATGAATTTAGGTATCGATGGGCAGAAAACAGGACTTTGCTGAAAGGTAACAATTGAATATCAAATGGTTTGTAGCTTGTTTCCCTTCTTTCCTGTAAACTTTCCTAGAATTCACTATCAATAGAAGGAGTCGTGTTCCGCACAGACCTGTATTAAAAGGCCTGTCACACACTTCCGGCGTACCTCGTCGGAACTACATAATGCAAAACGGTAAAACATTAACAACAGTGGGGAAATCGGCAGAGCTCCGGCGAGAAAGCACTTGAAAAAAATCAAAATTGATCGTAGCAATACTGATGTAGTACCGGCGTTCCCGTTATTCTACGAATGTAAGAGGCGATATGGTACCGAATACCACTTCTCTGTCGTTAGTACATCGGCGGCACATCAGCACTACTTCGGTTGTGTTCGGTATCACATCGGTACCAGTACGGTACACAATGAAGGCACCAGAGAGCCGCCGATCCATTACGGGGCGCTACCGGTGCTCTATCGAGATTAACGAAGCCATACCAGAGTGCTCGATCCGGCAGCGCAACGGCGGAAATTTGTAAGCAAGTTCAAAAATGTCTACCGTCGCCTGCCGTTGCTAAATTTTCGCCGATGTTCTGAAGATGTACTTCCGTTCTTAGCAATGTGATACTGTTGCGCTGCCGTACTAGTACCAATCCCCGAAAAGTGCCAAATTTGTGGTCCGTTATAGCTCCGGCGACCGAAATCGGCTAGGTGTGCAGGCCCTCGAGAGAAGATGAACTGTATCTGTTGGGACAAGGATCCAGATCATTGCCCTCTGTTTTGGTTCCTTTTAAAGTATATATTCTTCAATTTAAATAAACACTGCCCATATATCTTAACGGTCACTCGAGTGTTATGATACACATGCTCTGCAGTAGAGTGAACGTCCAGGAGGCAAGAGGGCCCCACTGAAGGGTAGAACCAAAATTTGGTCTAAACCAACCTAAATAATTGCTTACATCTTTGATAGTTTTACATAAAGTGGCCTTTATGGCCCGACCTCTCAACCTCCTTGGATTCAACTTCTTTAGTATAGACCTTATCAATCATGTAGGGATTATTTTAGTAATTGTTGGTCCTATTCCATCAATAAATAAAAGAGGATATTGTGATTTTGCACTAATGGACGATTTATGGCCAACCTTTCAATCCCCTGGGACGGTATACGTAGCTCCAGATACAGTCTGATCCTCATCATCAATGGATCGTTTAATGAAATCTTGATCAAACTCCAACAGCCTCTTAAGAAGAGATATACCTCTAATTTCCCCCACCCTAGTCCCCGAAGATTTCTGAATAGAAAGGTTTAAGCTCATCATTTATGAAAAGTTGGTGGAAATCCACCTGTATGGTTAAGAATTGACAAAGTTTTGCACTCTCTGTTCTCTGAGCTACTGAGAACTCTGCACGTTAACTCTCTAGAGGCGCAGTCACTGTTTATGTGTTTATTCTGACGCACGAAACCGAATGATATGACCATCAAGTTACATTAAAATCTGACAAGAGGTTTCAGAAGAAAAGTCTTAATCATAATTGCTTAAGAACAAGGAAGATTCAGACGACAAATATCCGAATTGTATTAAAAAAAATGCACTTAATGAGAAGTCAATTCGTTGGACCACATTGAAAATGGTTTCAATTTAAACAGGAGCGTCTTCGAAGTGTTTCACATACAGCAGCTGTCATTTTCATCCTATATAAGAAAAAACGCCTCATCAAAAAGAAAACAAAACACGTTTTCTTTCAAGGGAACCTTGGAATTTAATAATTCTTCAATTGTCAAATGAGAGAGATAGAGTAAAAAGGAGGACAAAATGATGTGTTATGTCGTTTAAAAATTTCATGAGATCACAGATGACACAAAGACATCGCATGAAGCTACACCGTTGAATTGAATTTGTTCTAAACAGGAGTTAATTGTCGTAAATATGAGATCTGAATATAAATGATCCTAGCTATTAGTCAAATCTGGATTCACGAAGTCTCACCATCAGATGAAGTTGATGAGATCACTTTTTGTTGATTTTCTTAATTCCGGAATTGTAAGGTTTAGACTTAACATGGCTTATCAAATTCACATTTTGATTACCGAGACCTCCTCAAATACGAGTTTTTAAGAGTTTTTAATTCCGGAACAACGAATTCTGTTGTAAATGTTAGCTTATTCGTTTATTGGAGTATGCACAAAATCTTGTTTACAAAATTGAAATATCGATGCTCGATATCATCACATTATTAGATGATGAGGAAAAACGATCAATAAAGGTTATCAAAAGCTAATTACTAGTAAATACCATCCTTTTAAAATGAAAATGTCTTTGAAAGACATTGCTCGCATTTTCTCGGCACATAGTTATATCATATTTCACAATCACCATAAAACATGCCATGAACGTAGCCATAATTTACAAACTTTGCACACATGTACGACTGTCCTTATTGGGTCATTTGATCACACAAAAACATCATTAAATGCAGCAGTTTTCAAGTGTCCCACACTCTCAACATAACTCTATTGTTTTCTGGTTATATATAAGTGATTGACTACTAACTACAACCAGTTTCGTACTTTATGTGAAACCTGTCGTTTGAAAAAATAGGGCATCTTTTAATAATCAAGTTACCAATGTCATGTTTAAATGATTTAAAAACAATATTTTCAAAAAAGTGCAAGAATGTTACTTTTAAGAAATGAACCACAGGCGCATTCAGGGGGTAAAATCCAAAATTAAACGTTTATACACTATAATAAACGAAAGATGAAAACTCTGATATCAGGATTCCTCTACTTTGAGGTAGATCATATAATAATGAAGAAAAATGTACATCCTTTCTTATATACACAATTTAACCTGATAGTAAAGCAGTGTGTAACTTTAACTGAAACAAATTAACGTTTATATGTTATCCCAGTTAACCATTATAATAATAATAATAATAATAATAATAATAATAATAGTCTTTATCTAAACTTGATTACCATTTATGTTAAGGACCTCGTGTAGTACTTAACGTATGATTTGATTTAAACATATTTACTTAAAAAGGTCATAGTCTGGATTCATATTCACTTTTCCTTTATCAGTACTACAGATTAGCTATCCCCTCCATGTAATAATATATAAAAAAAAATCATGTTTAGAAATTAGTGAAACAAAATCATTTTGTACTGCTTGATATGTTCAATAGCTCTGAAATTTTAGTAAATTAAAACTACACAAGATAAAATGTAAACAAGTAAAACGGATGTTTTCCGCAAGGGCGAAAACCAGTTTTCGGTCTTGAATGAATTCGCCTCGCTCTATTATTTCGTAAAATGCAGAAAAACTCAGAAATACGTTATTTCCCAAAACTTGAAAACTTGAATTAAATTTAAAAGTGAAACAATTATAAGGTAAATGTAATATTCTATAACCAATTGTCTTGCTGCTTATTTCCAATTTTCTGTATCTTTAGCAGCCAATTGGATCGTTTGAAGCATATGATTTTCTTTAATCAACATAAACGGTTTCACACTGATATCACATAGACTGATGAATATGTACATGTATATACAAAAATCGGCATTTAACCCGAAATAGCAATCCTACAATACAATGAAATATCTACATGTGTACATCACAACGAACACATATGAGCCAAGGTAATGTATCTGAACAACCTTGATCGCCATTCACCCAAATATCATGACAAGCGCTCAACTGAAATCACTAATTTTTTACACAATCATTTAAGAATTAATTTATTAAGCACAGGTTATGTACAATGATTATTTGGATAAAACTAGTTATCACTCTCATTCTCTTTCATTTCATATTTTAAATAGCATATAAAATGTATTGAATTTATCACTCATTTTCATTTCAGCATACACATCACATTTCGGTAATCACAAACATTACCATGAAACGCCAGCCTTATTTACATATGCAAATATCAACAACATCTACATATGTAAATATCAATATCATTTACATACCACCAATTCATATGTAATTAAAAGTGAAAGAAAGTAGTACGATTTAGTTAAAAAGCTGGGGTGTACTGTAATGACACATATTCAAAATAATACATGTGTAAATGTATATAAAAAAGATATTAGATAAAAAGACCATTAGTTTATAATCCGAAGAAAAAAAATACAATGGTCAATCAAGAAATTTTCACATTAAACTGATGTAACTTTCTATGTATGATGGATAATCATTGCTAATATATAGCACATAAAGATATCAGAATGAATGGAGAACGGAGTCTACATAAAAACGGGCTCAACCATTTTTTTTCAGACAACATCACAAAGTTCCTTGCGGTATGACAATGGAGCATTGCACTGTTCTATCGAACAATGAATGTTTTATATAAATTATAATTTGGATGTTTTATATAAATTATAATTTGGATGTTTTCAAAATAGATACAAGACCTCCAGAAAAGAAATTTTCTATGTTCAGCGTTTTGATAAAATTTTCTCGTACTTAAAAAGGGTTATCCTACGTGATACTCTAAGCTAAATATTTCTATCTAGTGTAATATGTCTGACACCTATACGTGATATCTGACGCGAAATTTTGCATGACGATAAACTCATCCACGAGCTTAATATACTGTTTATTTGTGAATACTTTCGAAGATCATTAGAACAAAATCCAATACACGTCAACTGCAGTGGATCAATTTTTCATTCCCTGGACACATCAATGCCAGTTTACAATATTCAAGTACAAAAGGTTATATCATTTAATATCAACACTTGCAAAAACACGATTTACCTGGCAAATGCTGATGCCCGAGAGATACTAATAGGACTATTCTTCGAATAGGCAATTTAAAAAGAAACGAGAATATTTGTAAAACAGGAACCATGTGATGTTAAACATGACCTACATGAAATGTGAAACATCTTCTGTAACGTAACAAAAATGTGACACAGATCATTTGACGTGAAACATGATTAACATGTAAAATACCCGAACAAATTACAAGAAAACGTGACACAAAACATGCAATGTGAAATATCAATTGTGAAAATTTCCTGATTAAACATGTTTAAAGAATCACAACAAGAACGGTGCTGCGTTCCACAGACATCACGACAACGTCTTTTTAGCACCCGGTGCTTGTGTATCCACCCCAGCATGGAAGATTATCATATGTCTGTAACAACCTCATCACAAGATAAAACTCTAGTGAACTCAACAAGTATGAATAATCGTAGACACATCACTGTAATAATCAGTGTCTTTTTCACACTTCATAATGTTTCATCACCTCGGCATCATCCTCGTGTGTTTTACGACATATTTGTCGTATAAATGTGTATTGGTTTGTGTTAAGACACACATACATTTGGGCTAAGCCAATCAAAAGTGTCATTTCTGACATCAGTGTTTTCCCACAAAAGCATCCTCCACTTATATCCTTGCAGATGCTACCAGCCTGCCATCACTATTAGTGAACTCCACTTGAATTCAGCTTCGACAATCGGCATTCCAAACAACTTCATTTTGATCAAAGCATCCCCATTAGGTATTCCAAAGAACTCCATGTGATCTTAACTTCCACCTTAGGTGTCATAAAACAACTCCCTTTGATCTAATATAAAAGTGTAGAATTCGAATATCGCAACACTTGTTTATTTTCTTGTTTCTATCAACGTGTCCTGGAACAACAAAGCCAACTTGAGGGTTTGATCATTCGTCCTCGTTGTCTGTTGGTTTGTTAATAGACATTAAGGATGGAATATGAGCGTTTCGCCAGTCCTTTGGGTCCCCCCCCCCCCTTCCTCCCCGATTAATCCCAATCTAACAATGTCGTGACGGTAGAATTTATGATCCAGACACAATTTATATATCAGCCGACTCATAGTCATTCAAAGATATAGCGTTTTTTGTTTTCTAAACAAGCGTTTGACAGAAATTCCTAATTTTAATAACCTTTCATATCTATCACCAGGGCGTCATTTGGCAAGAATTAGCTACTGCCGTTTCTATTTTAACATGGTTGTGGAAGTGCCTATTAGAGTCCTGAGATAACAGTAGAAAACATTTGAATAGAATAGGATGACCACTGATTGGCAGAATGCGATGCAATCCGGGGCCCAGTAATTATAACTGCATGCTACAAGCCCTGGTCACTTACTGCAAATATTTCAGGAATCACTCCAAAAATACTAAAAATATTTTCACTAAAAAATCAGAAGGTATGTATATTAATCATAGCAATCTGAGGCATCAGATATCACTTTTCGCTGTGTTTAAAATTTACATATGAAATCCTTTAAAAATTGAAATAATTAGTCGTTAAAATATTCCACAAAGTTTAAGTAATTAATCACTTTGAGACTTTTTTTTACTAATCAAGAGTTGAAAAAAAAATGACTTCATAAAATTCATGGTAATTATCATCTTTGATTTAATTGGTATAATACGCTTTGTTTTCCAAAAAAGTTGACACTACGAACTAATATGAACAGAAATATTTATTGTTTCATATTCGAATATCGCATATTCTTCATTTATCCTTGTAAAAATACTTCAAATATCAAAACACATGATTATCAAAATCATGTGCAATCCATCGTGATTCCTTTCTGCTAATTATCAAGTACCTCCCCTTGAAATGAAACTCTTCAAATATGAAGGATATCTACATCACATTTCTGCATTGTGTTACTACATTTTGCGCAGGCATTGATATTTCTGTTAATACTTTAACAGAATTTGTTTCTTAAAATTCCTTTCATGGTACAATTTTGATTTTGCCAGGATTCATACAATAAATTATTGATCCATCATAGACTTGTAGACATGTTGATATGTTGAAAAAACTCGGATTAAAAAATAATATAACAAATTCAGGGTTCCTACTAAGACTCGTCTATAGGTTCCTGTTTACTGTTCTCTAATATTTTGCTTTTTTGCTCAAACTTCTTGGATTTTCCTGTGAAACATTCCTTTAGGAAATCTTCCATAGTTTCGTAGAGATGACGCCGAGAGTTTCCACCATTCAGTGCATGTTGCTGATCCGTGTATATCTACAAAATAGTAATCGTATGAGAGTAAATATACCAAGGGAGAAATACTCACTTCTCTATCTCATCACTGCAGGTCACAGTGATATGTCAAGACATCAATCGCAAACAGTCTCTTAACACTTTCTCACATTATTCGTTACTGAAACTCACACCAGGGTCCGGTAGTTTAAAACAGTTATTAGCTTAATCAATGAATAGCGCAAACTTTATTTTTGTGTATCTTCAAAATGCACCCAACAACCTAGTCAAAACTCTCAAGATATCAAATATTTTAGTACAGTAAACTTATATGATAAATTGAAAGTGTTTACCTTGTCTTTTGACCAAATCATTCGAGCGTGAAAAATATTAACCCGTTCACCACTTTGCAACTTTAGTTAATTTAGCCATGCAATGATCTGGATGAGTCCATTATGGTCTACAATTAGGGTTAAACTGTGATAAGGTTTTCGACTAATTGGGCCCAGATGAATCCGGATGACTTGCAATGATTATTAATCAGCATTTAATCATAATCTCAACACAGCACAAGCATATCACGATAACTTTGAATGACTGTTAAGATAGTGTGAACAGTCAATAAAATTGGATAACTGAGATTCGCTATGACTGCAGCTTTGACATCATGGATGTCTGTGATTAAATCCTGATTCATAAAAGGATTTTGGTTGTTTTTTCACGACAATATAACTGCCAGTCATGTATCTATACAGAATAAATATGTTAATACCAGGACTGGGAGATTCCATTTAGAACCATTCTTTCTTATGGTACACCTTGTATTTTGTATGAATACCTTTGCAACCTATATCCAAACAAAACAAGAATCATAGTGTCATAGTTTTATAGCAGGCTTCATCATCTAAACATAATCATTTTTAAATACATTCACATTTGGACATGACATATACCTGTGATCTGTAGTAGACATTCTCTTCAACTAGAGCTCGCATCAACTGGGCTGAGTTTTGGAAATGGACATTATCTGAAGAAAAAGTCAGAATGTTTAAAATGTGAATAAATTAAATTCTATCGAATACAGCATCCGTACATAAAAAGCACACGAGTATCTGTTGTGTTAATCTCATATACATGGCAATGCATGACCTAAATGGCTGTATATATTTGGTGCCGTGACCAGGATATATCAAATATTGAAATACCAATCTCAAGAAAAATATAGTGTCAGAATGTTTAAAATTTGAATCAATTAAATTCTATCAAATATAGCATATGTACATTAAAAGCATACAAGAATTTGGTGTGTTAATATCATAAACATGGCAATGTATGACCTAAATGGCTGTATATATTTGGGTCCGTGACCAGGATCTATCAAATATTGAAATACCAATCTCAAGAAAAATATAATGTCAGAATCTTTAGAATTTGAATCAAATAACTTCTATCAAATACAACATCTGTACATTAAAAGCATACAAGTAATTGTTTTGTTTATCTCATGAACATAAGGAAGCATGACATAATTAGTTGTATTTATGTCGGGCCGTGACCAGGATCTATCAAATATTGGAATACCAATCCTTAAACCACTGAACAGTGTTTGAATGGATATCTATATATTATCATATAGAACATTAAGTGTCATAAAAGTATTTATGCAAAACTCCTATAAATAAAAATTAATTTTATTCTTATTTAAAATGTGATTATTTTTGTTTTTACGTTTGTTTTACTTACCATCACCAGTTCCGTGAATTAGCATAAATTTTGCTGACTTGAAATTCTTGGCATTTTTGGAAACATTTGACAACTGGAATAGAAGACAATGTTGCCAGGATGAAAAACGACTATGACAGTAACACATTATACTATTTTCAGTGCTAAACATATCGTGATATTTGCAGTATATAACAGCTTACAAAACGCCTTTTAACCATTTTTTCATGTACTCTAACAGTATTAGAGGTAAATCAAAATCGATCAAATTTTATTAAGTGTGATTGGCTTTATACAATTTCTGAAATACAATATGTTCATGAATATTGAATCGATGATAGAAAAATCGAAAAAGCGTACCAATTTTGAAAAAAATACATCTTTTATAAACACTCGTGTACAAGAAAAGGGTAACATCTGTTTCGAAGATAATAAAGACACTATCTGAAAATTCACACAAAATAAAGGGATCCTTTGAAAAACTGGTCTTTTTTAATGCATTGCAAACAAGCCTAAGCAAGGACTCACATTGTAGCCATCTGGATTGTCTTCTGGGGTGCTCATATATCTTTCAGTGTATACAGAATCTACAAACAAGGGATCATCGTAATTCATATACTGATTTCACATCCAAATGGTCCACCCAAACAATTTACCTAACATATTGTTTTACAGGTGTGGCCTTATAAAAATGTATCAAAGATGAGTTTTTATTAATCACCAAAACTTTCACATGGAATATCTTTCTCTTACAAGATACACAACTAGAACTGTTTTTTTGTTGTTTGTCTGGGTGTTTTTACATCCTTTTCACAGTTGGTTCACAGCGTAGTTCGGTTATCAAGTAGACAATATCGACTAGACCTATTATTCACAGGTATACTAGCTAATACTCCCGTTCAACAATTGACATTTTAAAAAATGAAGAAATTCAGCAGAAGATTTTAAATTATGAGTACTTCTATACAGATTTAAAGGATTTTTGAAGTATGATATTCTACAAAGAATTAATACATTATTTTCCATAATCTTTTTCAACATGTTCCATTAGTCACAAATTTTTACTTTTTATGATGGCAAAAATTAACCATAACACCTCAAGTCCTTTCACATGGACATTTTACCTTTGGTGTGCAAACGTCAAAGGTTTTAGTCTACAACTATCTATATGGATTAGACTCTGGAAACAAAACCATTAGCATTTCTGTACATAAAAATGATAACTTTCAGATTCACTCTTTCATGATTTACCATAGTAGTGCCAATCCGTGACTGGAGCCACAGAGATTCCACAGCCGAAGGTTTCCGTGCCCCGCCCCAGTACAGAAGCTGTCAGGAATCCCCCGTACGACTGAAAAATAGAATCACCACATAACAGTGACACATATAAAACTGTTTCAATTTTTCGTTCCCCGTCCCAGTACGGAAGCTGTCAGGAATCCCCCGTACGACTGAAAAATAGAATCATCACATAACAGATTTTTCCATGGAATAAATTTATCGACAGTGAAACATATAAAACTGTTTCAATTTTTCAAGAACTTGAATATGTCATTGAAATCTGTCCTGAGGAAAGAAAACAGCTTGAAGACACAAATAGGACATATTCTTATTTAAAGACAGATCAATTTAAAAGAAAAAAATCTACCTGTAGTTTGTAAAATAGTAAATGCATTGGTTAGAAAAGCAAAAAGTACATATTTTCAGTAAAACTCTATTTTAGTACCTTTTGAGACTATAAGTTTTGATTAAGTAGAATTTATAACATAAAAAACAATAACAAGATATTCATTGTGTTTATTAGTTAAAAACATAAATTACATAAAAAATTACAAAGAAATGTCATTTAGCCATTTGCATTAATGCCTGAGTAAATTATTTTTTCACTCTTTCTTTTTACTTTTTCATTGAAATATAATTAATTTGAATCTCATTTAAAGTTTTATTGATACAAGCTATTTTTAATGATAAGTATGGTTAAACATTCACAGATGTTACTTACCCATCCCCATATGGCTATCTTGCTAGATTCTACATACGACAGCTGGTCATAAAAGCTGCAAATAGAAGTTTTCAAAATTACTCATTTTAAAGCAAATCTAAATTTTGAAAGTACTGCTTATGGATAATCGAGAGGCAAATTAATTTAACACACCCAGCTGTACAGATGGACACTATTGTGCTGGGAGGTATCATTTGGAAGGACCAGTGTCCTTGAGAGGCAATACAATTCCAACTCACCCAGCTGTACAGATGGGCACTATTGTGATGGGAAGTATTCTTGGGAAGGACCAGTGTCCTTAAGAGGCAAATTAATTCAACACACCCAGCTGTACAGATGGGCACTATGGTGTTGGGAAGTATTCTTGGGAAGGACCAGTGTCCTTAAGAGGCAAATTAATTCAACACACCCAGCTGTACAGATGGAAACTATTGTGGTGGGAAGTATTCTTCGGAAGGACCAGTGTCCTTAAGAGGCAAATTAATTTAACACACCCAGCTGTACAGATGGACACTATTGTGCTGGGAGGTATCATTTGGAAGGACCAGTGTCCTTGAGAGGCAATACAATTCCTACTCACCCAGCTGTACAGATGGACACTATTGTGCTGGGAGGAATTCTTTGGAAGGACCAGTGAAGAAATATTAGCTTATTCACCTTTACCTATAGAAATATACCGTACTTATCCTACAATAAGTCCAAGGTCAACATAATCTCTTACTCAAAACAGTTGGATGGATTTATAACAGGACAATGCTATAGCATTTGTTTGCATGTTTACAGAACTGCAATAGATTTGTTTGGGCTCATTAATTACTAGGCATGGGCTTATAACTGGATAAATATGGTAATTCTGAACCTCAGATACACTCAAGGCTCAAATGTATTGCCTAAAACTCTGATTGATATGACATCAAATTACCCTGGCCTCCCCTTACAAACACCCAACCCTTTTTTCTTGCCCCATCCCTTCATCGTAACTTTCAAACTTACTCAAAAGCAGTGTCTAATATGGCTATTTCAGGGAATTCCGTAGATTATTAACTATCTCTGCACCGCTGGAATATGTCACTACAGAATCAAAGGTATGCGTCTAGGTATTTGATTGATTCCAGGTATAACGATTACAGATAGGCCACGCCTGACTTGAAAGCCGGTCAATTTTACCATTTTGCTGCCGTACATCAAAGGATGGAACCAGTCTACTTGTATCATCCCCAAGGTGTCGCCTATAGAGCCTGTGATATTTGTCATGATATATTCCAGGAATGCAGAGAACGTAAGCGAGCATAATCTCTAGAATTTTGAGGATGATATAAACATAATGTCAAAGATGAAACAGCTTTGTCGGTTTGACAGCCATTTCTACTGTAGATATTTATTGCTTACTTTCCGGCTGTGATGGCATCGTCAACCTCGTAGGTGCCTAATTTCCTGTAGATCGAGTGAAGGAATGTATTTCCTCGTGCGGCTGTCCCTCGGCCATCCACGTAGGCGCAGATAAAGTCGTGGGTACTGGACAGGTATGTTTCCCAGGTGAGAGAGAATTGTTCTGTTACCTCCTGACTTCCTGGTCCACCATACCTGTATATAGACAATAACCATGTTGTCCTATTCAGACATTGGTGTGCAAGAGGCCTTTCATGGGGACATATATAGACACAGTAAGGTAAATAGCTGTTGAGGTAACCAAGGGGGTAATCAATATATATATGTAAAGATCACAATTTAAAGTATAGAGGCCACCAAAGAGAAAATGATTATGTTAAAAGTATACCTGAAAGGAAATAGGCAAATAGGGTCACCACCAAGGGTTGTCTCCCCTATATCTGTGACTTGGATTTCCTATCAAAAGAGTTCAGTAAAAAACTAATGGAAAATATCTTTTAGGATTTTGTTGACGGATATTACACTAATACACACCAGATTTGATGTGCAAGGTAGCATATATCCTTGACTCTAACACAAATCACAGGTGTAATGTGTATGGTAGTATACATCCTTAACTCTAACACAAATCACAGGTGTAATGTGTATGGTAGTATATATCCTTGACTCTAACACAAATTACAAGTATAATGTGCAAAGTAGCTTATATCCTTAACTCTAACACAAATTACAAGTATACTGTGCAAGGTAGTATATATCCTTGACTCTAACACAAATTACAAGTATAATGTGCAAAGTAGCTTATATCCTTGACTCTAACACAAATCACAAGTATAATGTGTAAGGTAGTATGTATACTTAACTCTAACACAAATCACAGGTGCTTGTAAGATATCAGTTATCTTAAAGGGAGATAATCCTTACAATCTCACAAGGTGGCATATACATCCCTAAACCTAACACAAAGCACATTCTCAAGGGAGATGACTTTTGCACAAATTTCAGGTTTAATATACAAGCTAACATGCATCTATTTCATACTTACACACGTAGTAAAAGTGGGTAGGTCAAGATTTCCTCAGTCTTTAAGATTGGTGGTAACAGTAACTTGCCATGAAGAACTAAAATAATAAAGTAAATTTCTCTACATAAAATATTAAAACCATACCTAGATAGATCTAATATAAAAATTCAATAAATATTATATTAATTGTTGTGGTGACCCCAACCTTTTCAAGTCCGATTGGGGAATCAAACCCCGGCCGCCTTGGTGAAAGGCAAGTGCGATATCCACTGCGCCACCCGACCATATAACATTTAATTGCTATGTTCTGCTTATAATCAACACAAAATCTGGTTAAAAACAATAAGGTAATTCAGTGGAAACAATTTTTTTCAAGGCTTATGTTCAGCCTCATCTAGGTCTTACTCTTCAATCCCTAGGGGCAGGCCACAATATGATTCTTATACACAGTGTTTAGTTATTGGAGGCACGGTTGTCTATTGGTAGGACGACGGGCACATGACCCAAGGGTTGCGGGTTCGAGTCGCTGTGTTGTATCTTTGAGCAAGATACTTTAATCTGCTTGTTCCAGCCTACTCAGCTGTAAATGAGTATGTGGTTGGGCAGTGCTAGAATTGTTGAATGCTAGCTGTGAGCGTCGAAATGGCAGCACCGGTTGTTTGCTCCCTGGGGAGTTGAGAAAGATATTGGATGGTTGCAAAACCCTATAACCACAGATAATAATTTGTGAACCGCTTTGAGACGACCTACAAACTAGGTTGTGATAAAGCGGGTATATAAGAACCTTGAGTTATTATCATTATTACCGGTATATCTGGTAACATAGAGAATACAGTTGATTCAGGAGGATTAAGGTTTTTTAGGTTGACGGACACAGTGGATAATCAGATACTGTGACAAGGTGGAAGCTCACTGATTTATTGGACCAGGTTTACTATGAAGGATAAATTAGGAAATTTCTAGATTATTTCTATTCGGAGAGGAGTTTTACCAACTATTGTGTAACACAAGAAACAATCCTGCGGCTATGTAAATGCTAATGGGTTGTCTTGGTAACAATCATGGTTTCCATGGTAACTTACTTTCTCCATTGTCAGCTTTGAAGGTAAAGTACTCTGTTTTTGGAAGGGCCTTTCTTTGCAGTCGAACCCGCAGAGCTTCATTGCCCTCTATCATGATCTCTGAGGGTTCAAAGAAACGGTCAGTAATTATCTCAATAAATAAATATACAACATTTGATATTAGCATATATATTAATCAATACAATATTGAGGAATTCGTAGAAGCTGCCTTATCAGGCGCTAGCTACTAGTCCTATGCCACCTGGCTAATACCTACCTATGTGTGTATGCCTGTGTGTGTGCTGGAGATGTATTGTGTTGCAAGTTCCCCAATAATAAACTATTTTTACTCATAACATCACATTAAAAACAAATTATAACCTACATATATGTTATTTCTAACATATTTTTTGATCCACTGATCATATAAGGTCAATGCTTGTAAAACTAAGAGAAATTTAAATAAAATTATACGACACGCTCCATTGACCTTCAGAAATTGATGGTCTTTAATTCCCATAGATAATATACAATGTTTAACTTCAAAATTCTTGTTACTTTCAGGATGAATTCAATGTCACTGCTTTTCCAGTACACTTACCAAAGTCTGACTCGGTTGATCGGAGGGTATAGTACGGGACTCCGGGCCCCATACATCCGAGGACATAGTACTTCCCCGACTGACTGAAGCTGGCCGTATGGTACTTACAGTGGTCTGTATCAAGGTCACAGGTCAGACACTCGGTGTGCCGGAAGTTATTTTGCAGAGAGCTGGACACACTGTTAAACCAGGATATTACACATTAATTAAATAAAAGATATTCAACTCATTCACCCCCGAAGACACATTTTTGAATGCTTCCAATTCAAAGGTTGGAATAGTTCATTATGAAGTTTCAGGGGTTAATGAGTTAATGAGTTTCAATCGATATAAGGTAGAAAGTCACTTTTTTTGAAAAAAAATATAACAGCAAATAAAATTATTAACAAGGTATACAAGTAAAGAATGCTGTAAAGAGTTTAGAAACTTTGCAACAACCGGAAACAAATACTTTAAATTTAAATTTACATATTTAAGGAGTGATCTTACTTCAGCACTTTTTGAGCTTTGAATACTGCACTCATTGAAGTCCCTGTATATCATTAATTGAAGTCCCTGTATATCATTAATTGAAGTCCCTGTATATCATTAATTGAAGTCCCTGTATATCGTGTACTAATCCATATATTGTGAGTAGGCTAATTCATTGATGCACCAATCTGTTCAAACTTTAAAAAACACTAAAATTTAAGTGCACAAAAATAGGTATGTTGACTATGCTGTTTTATATAAATGTACAACTTACGCAAGTTTTAACAGTAAAGAAATCGTAGATGCATTTTGACAATTTTACCTGTAGAGATGTCTGTGTCGGGGGTCACCCCCGGTTGATATGTAGTACACCAGTTCAAGTTTCTCATTATATCCGACAATGTTGGTGACATCGTACTTGCCGAGGGTTAGATAGCGCCGGACACCGGTCTCCCGACTTAGCTGCTGCAAGAAATGGAGGTAGTAAGAGTTCTATAAAATAGGGTGTTAGTAGGACAAAATCTATAGCACTACAGGACCACACCACACACAGGCAGACAGCTTTTTTATAATGAACTAAAACTGAAATATCTTTAAAATATGTCCTGGGATTGAAATGATAGGACAAAGTTTTTATTTGAAAATATTAATAAATAAATAAAAAAACTCATATTTTTTTTTTTTTTTTAAATTTTCCCTCCAAAAAACACAAAATCAATGATATTTTTTCCTTTCATATTAGATGATTGATTCATTATTGAAAAAGATTTTGTTGTTTAACATTTGTTAATATTTTCGACATATTTGTCAGCATGTAACCAGGAAATAGAATCAGCTAGGGATTTCATTTTTGTAACAAAATCCATTTTTTTTTTTTTTGTGTTTGTTAATAATTTCACAATTTTCTGTTTCTTATTAATAACTTTAAAAGTTTTAGACAAATACTGTATGCTTTCTGTTTCAAAGCTATATAGAGAGCTAGTCTGCTGTGTAATATGGTCCAACTATTGACTCTAATTCACACATGTGCATATGCAAAACGTCGTCAAAAATGAGAAGAAACTATATGGAAGCCATTAAGGATCACCGAGATAAAAAATGTTTTGTGTAACAACGACTTATTATCTCGTAACAAAATAGTAAGTCATTATTACGGCATAACTGTGTCATTAATATGAAATAATACCGACCATCACTATCTTGTAATAGCGACATAGTTAGACGTAAATACAAGAAAGTGAGTTATTAATTCGACATTGAAAGTCGTAATTACAAAGTAGTAAATCATTATTACAAGATAGTAATGTATTTAATAAAAGATAGGAAGCTATTTCAACATACTATTTTTTTCCCAATGACTCGTACTGGCTTCCATAAAAAACAACTCTAAAATGTTAAGTAAAATGGAAACAGGAAGACTTTTGAATTTAAATGGAAACGATGTATCAGATGGGTGGATCAAGGAAGGAAATTCTTTTGAGGTTTTGTCTAGGACTCAGTCTATTTTTGTTTCAGTATAGCGAGAAGCAAGGAAAAAAAATAAAAAAAATAAAAGAACACACTAATTAGGTGCAAACATAAATTATTCATAGCCCGATTGATTTTTGTCTTCTTGTAAATTCCATCAATTAAAGGCAGGATTCTACTATCCTATTTAAGTCAGTATTTACACATAGAGTTGTTCCCCTTCCTTCACGATGAGTAGATCATTGGAGAGTTCGGTAATGTTATTTGAACATGCATCATAATCAGCATCAATAACACTATCCTCACGTCAAAATGAAATAATGAACCAACATGTATGCTACAGGTACACTCAAGCTCTACCAGCTGTAAGAACTGGTGCACAAGCAAATCATATTTGTATATGTTTCCCATCAACTGCCAATATGTATACAAAAGTTAACAAGAGGCCCAGAGGGCCTGTATCGCTCACCTGGATAATAAAGCAACCATGGGAAATTATTCTTGTTACATAAAATCCCTCCAATGGTACAGAAAGAAAAGGATTTTAAGATTTAAATCTTAAATCTCAAATTCTAAATGTGAAGCCACCCCTTCTGCACCAGGAGGGGCCATCCTCACTTTTTATACAAAATTTTGTCCTCTTCACCAAAGGATGCTCCTGGCAAAATTTTGAATAAAATCTCTCCAGCGGTACAGAGGAAGAAGGATTTTGAAGACTTAAACCTCAAATTCCCCTTTCGAGTCCCACCCCTTGCTGCACCTAAAGAGGCTACATGCACCCACTGTTTATACAAAATTGAGTCCCCTTGGCCCAAGGATGCTCCAGACCAAATTAGGATAAAATCCCTCTATCCTTACAGTTTAAGAAGTATTGTAAAGGTTTTACCTTTATTTCCTCTATTCGGCCCCACCCCTGTGCCCCAGGGGGGCTACACCAACCATTTAAAATGAGTCCCCTTGGCCTAAGAATGCTCCAGGCTAAATTAGGATAAAATCCCCTTATCCCTACAGAAGAAGAAGGATTTTAAATGTTTACCTTATTTTCCCTATATGGTCCCGCTCTTCTGCCCCAGGGGGGCCAAACCCACTGTTTATACAAAATTGAGTCCCCTTGGCCCAAGGATGCTCCAGACCAAATTAGGATAAATCCCTTTATCATTACAGTACAAGAAGAATTTCAAATGTTTACCTCTATTTCCCCTATTGTGCCCCACTCCTCTGCCCCAAGGGGGCCGCACCAACCCTTTATACAAAATTGAGTCCCTTTTGCCAATCAATGCTTCAGACGAAATCGGAATGAAATCCCTTAGTCCCTATGGTAGAAGAGGGATGTAACAGATTTTTCCTTTATGTCCCCTATTCTGCCCCAGCCATCTGCCCCCAGAGGGGCCCCACCCACTGTTCATACAAAATTGAGTCCCCTTGGCCCATGGATGCTCCTGACTAAAAAGGGATAAATCTTTTTATCCTTACAGTAGAAGAAGGATTTTAAATGCTAAAACTTTATTTCCCCTATTGGGCCCCTCTTCTCTGCCCCCAGAGGGGCCCCAATTACAACCCACTGTTTATACAAAATTGAATCCCCTTGGTCAAAGGATGCTCCTGACTAAATTAGGATAAAATCCCTTTATCCTTACTGTAGAAGAAGGCTTTTAAAATGTTTTAACTCTATTTCTCCTATTTGGTTCTTGGCCTAAGGATGCTTCAGACCAAATTTAGTCAAAATCTACTTTGCCGTTCAGGACTTCAGGACTAGTAGCGTTTTAAAGGAAAAGGTGACGGATGGACGGACGACGGACGCTGCGGTATGGCATAAACTCACCATGGTCCATCGGACCAGGTGAGCTAAAAATGACCACAATTACACAGTAAGTTAACTATGAAGTAAGAAAAAAATGACTTGAATTCAAACATGTATAAATAATTAGGAATAATTCAGTGAATATTGCATACACATTTTTTTTCCTTAAAAAACCCCATTAATTACTTTTATCAAAACAGCTACTTTAAAAGATATGAAAAACAATACCTATTTGCAAAATATTTGTAGCTCAACAAAATGCTGATTAATGCTTAAAAAAATATTAGTTTTTAAAATTCCACTCTGTGCATGCAGGTATATATATATATTTTTTAATGCAAAAAATATTAATTATCAATCAGTTTTCCACTCCAGATCTATATGCTACTGATAAAAAAGTTACAAGGTTCGTTAGGATCTAGGTCAAAGTTCATGTCAAATTCAGGCCATGCCAAACACTTCTACAGAGAAGAGAGAATTGGGAGGTTAGGGGTCAATTAGTTCATACAAACTAGCACTAGTACCCTATATCTGAACATACTTTGGGATAAAGCTATTTTTGATAGAAAAATATTAGATTTTTTATTTTCTATTTTCCAAATTAACAAATGTATCATAATGCAACTGCATTTATATCTACATGAAAGTAGCATTTGAGATCAGTTCAAATGAGAGAAATCAACATTAGTGATCAGTTTCAATGACAGAAAACAACATTTAAAATTGATTTCAATGACAGAAAACAGCATTAAGATTGATTTCAATGACAGAAAACAGCATTGGAGACCAATTTAAATGACAGAAAACAACATTTGTGATCAATTTCAATCGTAGAACACATATTTGTCACTGTTATTATTACAAATTTCTTGTTCCTTGTTCTGACTCATATTAAGTGGAGACTTGTTTACGATTCATTTAGTATTTTACTGGATCACCAAATTATTATCATTTATTTGTGGTTCAATTACTGTACTTGAACCCCCCCCAAAGAGAAAGAAAGACAAAAATCCCCCCTCCCCCCTGGGTAGTTGCCAGTTAGGAGATTTAAAACAATTGCAAAGCAATGGAAAATTATCCAAAATAATCTTTTTAAAGAAAGTAAAACTATGAGTATGATGTATGATGCCTAGGCCCATAAATCAGAACTAGACGGGTGCTAAAAAGTGACAGGCCTCTTATTAGGTAAAATAGTACAGTACAGTTGTACTTCTAGTTTGTATTTTTAATTGGTTCTGGTTCGAGACATATCCTTGCACATGATCTAAGTTTGGCTTTAAAAATGAATATTTTGACTTTGAATAAACCAAAAACAAAAATACATGTGAGATTTCATATACTTGTCTGCGTGAATAATGAGATATATTTATGTTATAAAACAAAATCTATCATTATTGTTATCCATTTTGCTCCCCCCNCACTACCCTGATAAGCTTTAAGCAAGTTCCCAACAAATTTCCATTCATCCAAAAAATCACTATTAAAATGAACATATTGTAACCACAGGAAAACTACACCTTATTTTAAAATGATAGTTAATGTGTGTGTATTGTAAACAGCACATGATACAGGCAGATACTGAAATCAGTCACTTTGTTATACATATAGGATATTGTAAGTTAATGTACAACATCAAAAAGGATTAAAATGTCTTTTCAGAATTGTTTAAGAATTAGAATACACCTGTGACAGGAAGTTCTATTAATAGTGGAACATCTCACAATTACAGGCAGACATCTGAAGGAGTTTAAGGTGTGAACAATATTCTGGTACTTTGGAATAGGTTCAAATCAAAATGTGATACAATAAGATGAAAATCAAATTATTGCAGATTAGAATCAAGTCATCTTTGTCACGGTCAAACACTTTAAAAAACTTACTTCTGGATTTGGCTAAAGGAGTGAAACAGTGAAATTAATAACATGTGTTTTTTGAAAAGCAACAACAATGAAATTTAATTTAGATTCTCCCCATGACCTTCACAATTGTAATATAGTTACAAAGACCAATCAAAATGCATCAATATTGAAGTTTGCATTTTGTGATAAATTGCCTATGTCTGCAACAACATATGGCCCTTACAATGACACATCATCCTGTCACATTACAGCATGAAGTAACATCAACTCCAAACTATAAGTCCTGTCTTAAGACAAGAATTTGACTGATTTGACTTTTGACCCCTTGTCATGTCCTTGACCTTGACCTATACTTGGTACTAAGTTTCGTACTTCAGCAGTTGTTGGTGTTGACTAGCTATAGTGCCATCCTGTCATAATACAGCCATCAAATGTTGAGAAATACACATATTATAGCCTAGAAAAGTATCAAATTGTCTTGACCTGCGACCCCTTGCAATGACCTTGGCCTTGTAGGTATATAAAGTTCAGAAAGTCGCAACATCATCAATATATTTTTAACACTTGAATCTTTGCTCAAAATTTATCCAAGTAAAGTTGTACAGACTATTGAATCATTTAAGTTCCTAAAACAGAAAAAAAGTGTCCTTAAATAAAAAAATAAAAAAGTTTTGTTTTACAGTACAATACATATTTCATGAGTTCAGATACATGGTAATAAGCAAACAAAATATATGTAAACAAAGTAGGTTGAGGGTGTAAAGAGTGGCTACGGGAACAAACCTTTGGTGATGTACTCACTGGAAGGGTTACCATGGCAACGTGTTGGAAGTACCCTGCCACACCCTCCTGGTTAGGCAGTATGAGGAAGTATTTATCCCCCTTGGGGGCAAACAATGGCGGCTTGGACTGCAATTAACAGATCACAGGATTAAATAATCAGCTACACTTTCTTTGCAGTCAATCAGCAATTTTCGAAACAAAGATGTTAGCAGCATTTTATTATTCTTCAATACAATGTCTTGGGATATTTCAGATCGGCACCATATTGCTTCATTCAAGATTAAACATCACAATTAAGAAGTTATACATCAAAATATCTTCTCGGAGTGTGATTTTGTTAAAATTTTACATAATTATAATTATAGGGAAGCAAATGTTGTTGTATCGCTTGAAAAGCTATATCAGCAAGCTGTAACCCATTTATTTCACTCTGAAACACATTTTCCCATAATACTTTGGCTGTTTTGAAATCATCTATCTGATGTAGTTAACACACATTTTTGTTGCTTAATATTTTAAACCTCTTATCCTGACACTTATAAGTGCTCTCCATCAATACTAGGTAAAGGAATACCATATCAGATGTCTAAATTTGACTTTATGAATTTCAATGTGAAAATAAAATACTGATTTTATTCATTTTACACCAATTATGTTATATTACTTTATATATACAACTGTTGTCGGCCCAGATGTTAGTGTACAGGGGTCTTAATGTGGGAGGAAAGTGGATATCAATATATGATTAACCAACACCGTGCCTGTTTAGGTTTGGTTTGGTTGTGTTTATGTCCTATTAACAGCTATGGTCATTTAAGGATGTGCTAGGTTTTCATGGTGGAGGAAGCGGGGTTCCGGAAAAAGACCACCAACCTGCGGTAAGTACCTGGCAACTGCCCCATGTATAGGCCTTGAACCCCCGAGCCAGAAGTGGAGGGCCAGTGGTTGTAGATGGTCATACACATTAACCACTGGGCCACCGTCCTCCCCCCCCCCCCATCCCCTTTCCATGCCAGTGTTTATCCAATGATTCAAGAGAAATAAAACCTTTAGGAAGTAGTTACGGGAAAATTCTCAGTTACCACATGTATACAAGACTTACCAAATCAACCCACGCTCCATGTCCAGTCTCGCGTTGATTCTAAAAAATTCAAAATCAAATGTAAGATGTAAGACAGAAACCTGTAGAAAGGGACACCTGCAACCACAAAAAATGAATGTACATTTTCTCAAAAATAGTCAAAGATTTTTTTTATTAAGAATCTACGTTATTGAAAAATTAATGGAGGTTAATTTTTAATTTCTGTCTTTGAAAATTACTATAATATATAAGTTTAAAAAAACCACAATTGATATTCTACTCTATTCATGGAAAAGAGTTAAACAAATGTTAAAATGTCCATTTTGAGCCATATACAAATAAATGAAATCAAGACATCTTTTATATAAAGGCTGATAAGTGTAATGACATATCAATGCAAAACTTTCAAAAATATTAAAAACTATAACTGTCGCGGGAATGTACAGGTATTAGGCTTTAAATAAAACAATCACTTTTGAAAATTGAAATAAATCTCACAAATGTTGATTGGAATATGTTGTCATGACAAAAAAATCTGACCAATCACTTGGCAAATACCTGTCCTTTGAAGATTGAAGTGGAGCGATACCAAAACCAAAGGTCATCACTTCCACTGCTATATCTGCAACAGCACAATTCTTTTTATCTTGTAAATAAGTCATTCACCGCTGTAATTTCATAATGAACTATTTAAACCTTTCAATTGAAAGAGTTCAAATGTGTCTTCAGGGGTGAATGAGTTAAAGAGATCGAGGGTATGCAGGAGTCTGTAAAAGTTTCCAGATTAGTTGACGTGTAACATCTATGAAGGTGTTGCATTCAGAGCTGTGACATATCTCAATGCATCCTCGATACTCCAAGGGTTGGACCCACTTACACTCTCTGCACCCCTGGAATTGTCATAGTAAACTTGAAGACAGCTGTTTGATTGGTCCCAGGTAAAACAAAACTTACTAATCGCCAGGGTGATACCTGCGAACGCGAGATTCTTTTGATCAAATTTAAAGGATCAAACTAGTCTTCTTGTCTCATCAACAATTAAGGTGGTACACACTGAGCCTTCAATAGGCTATGACATATTCCAGGGGTGCAGAGAGCGAAAGAGACTGTAACCCCTGGATATCGAGGATGGTTTCAAGGGTGTAGATATATATATATATAACAAGTCTATTGAAAACCGACACCTTGGATTTGAAGATGCAGCTGTAAGTATATACTTACCACACTACAGACACCCGTCTCGGCGTTACACACGGTGATGACCGACTTGTTCTGGGCACGATTCATCCACGAAATCAACACGTAATTATCATCTCGCCATTGTACAAATGTGAAATAGTATTCCCTGTAAAAAAACCACAAAGTTTATAGAGTTATCCACCCTTACCTCGGGCATTATAAGGCACATACATATGTACGTGTCTAAATAAAGATGCCCAAATTTTCAACTATCTGCTCCTGACACCCTCATAGGTCAAACAGTAAAGTATGATGTTTTATGACATACTTTCTATCATATTCATTTAATTACAGTTATAGAATTAATTATTCAAAAAAATGGATAGTACATGTTTGACAGTGATAACATGACAGGGATCTGGTATTGTAGTAAGTATTGACATGACGGGGATCTGGTATTGTAGTAAGTACTGACATGACAAGGATCTGGTATTGTAGTAAGTATTGACATGACAGGGATCTGGTATTGTACTAAGTATTGACATGACAGGGATCTGGTATTGTACTAAGTACTGACATGACAGGGATCTGTGGTATTGTAGTAAGTACTGACATGACATGGATCCGGTATTGTAGTAAGTATTGACATGACAGGGATCTGGTATTGTAGTAAGTGTTGACATGACAGGGATCTGGTATTGTACTAAGTTTTGACATGACAGGGAGCTGGTATTGTAGTAAGTATTGTAAGTATTGACATGACACGGTTCTGGTATTGTAGTAAGTACTGACATGACAGGAGTACTGACATGACAGGGATCTGGTATTGTAGTAAGTGTTGACATGACAGGGATCTGGTATTGTACTAAGTACTGACATGACAGAGATCTGTGGTATTGTAGTAAGTACTGACATGACAGGGATCCGGTATTGTAGTAAGTATTGACATGACAGGGATTTGGTATTGTACTAAGTATTGACATGACAGGGGTCTGGTATTGTAGTAAGTATTGACATGACAGGAATCTGGTATTGTAGTAAGTATTGTAAGTACTGACATGGCAGGGATCTGGTATTGTACTAAGTTTTGACATGACAGGGAGCTGGTATTGTAGTAAGTATTGTAAGTACTGACATGGCAGGGATCTGGTATTGTACTAAGTTTTGACATGACAGGGATCTGGTATTGTAGTAAGTGTTGACATGACAGGGATCTGGTATTGTACTAAGTTTTGACATGACAGGGAGCTGGTATTGTAGTAAGTATTGTAAGTATTGACATGACACGGTTCTGGTATTGTAGTAAGTACTGACATGACAGGGATCTGGTATTGTAGAAAGTATTGTAAGTACTGACATGACAGGGATCTGGTATTGTAGAAAGTATTGTAAGTACTGACATGACAGGGATCTGTTATTGTAGTAAGTATTGTAAGTACTGACATGACAGGGATCTGTTATTGTAGTAAGTATTGTAAGTACTGACATGGCAGGGATCTGGTATTGTACTAAGTTTTGACATGACAGGGATCTGGTATTGTAGTAAGTGTTGACATGACAGGGATCTGGTATTGTACTAAGTACTGACATGACAGCGATCTGTGGTATTGTAGTAAGTACTGACATGACATGGATCCGGTATTGTAGTAAGGATTGACATGACAGGGATCTGGTATTGTAGTAAGTGTTGACATGACAGGGATCTGGTATTGTACTAAGTTTTGACATGACAGGGATCTGGTATTGCAGTAAGTATTGTAAGTATTGACATGACAGGGTTCTGGTATTGTAGTAAGTACTGACATGACAGGAGTACTGACATGACAGGGATCTGGTATTGTACTAAGTATTGACATGACATGGATCTGGTATTGTAGTAAGTATTGACATGACAGGGATCTGGGATTGTAGTAAGTATTGTAAGTATTGACATGACAGGGTTCTGGTATTGTAATAAGTACTGACATGACAGGGATCTGGTATTGTAGTTAGTATTGACATGACAGGGATCTGGTATTGTACTAAGTTTTGACATGACAGGGAGCTGGTATTGTAGTAAGTATTGTAAGTATTGACATGACACGGTTCTGGTATTGTAGTAAGTACTGACATGACAGGAGTACTGACATGACAGGGATCTGGTATTGTAGAAAGTATTGTAAGTACTGACATGACAGGGATCTGGTATTGTACTAAGTTTTGACATGACAGGGATCTGGTATTGTAGTAAGTATTGTAAGTATTGACATGACAGGGTTCTGGTATTGTAGTAAGTACTGACATGACAGGGATCTGGTATTGTAGTAAGTATTGACATGACAGGGATCTGGTATTGTAGTAAGTATTGACATGACAGGGATCTGGTATTGTAGTAAGTATTGACATGACAGGGATCTGGTATTGTAGTAAGTATTGACATGACAGGGATCTGGTATTGTAGTAAGTATTGACATGACAGGGATCTGGTATTGTAGTAAGTATTGACATGACAGGGATCTGGTATTGTAGTAAGTATTGACATGACAGGGATCTGGTATTGTAGTAAGTATTGACATGACAGGGATCTGGTATTGTAGTAAGTATTGACATGACAGGGATCTGGTATTGTAGTAAGTATTGACATGACAGGGATCTGGTATTGTAGTAAGTATTGACATGACAGGGATCTGGTATTGTAGTAAGTATTGACATGACAGGGATCTGGTATTGTAGTAAGTATTGACATGACAGGGATCTGGTATTGTAGTAAGTATTGACATGACAGGGATCTGGTATTGTAGTAAGTATTGACATGACAGGGATCTGGTATTGTAGTAAGTATTGACATGACAGGGATCTGGTATTGTAGTAAGTATTGACATGACAGGGATCTGGTATTGTAGTAAGTATTGACATGACAGGGATCTGGTATTGTAGTAAGTATTGACATGACAGGGATCTGGTATTGTAGTAAGTATTGACATGACAGGGATCTGGTATTGTAGTAAGTATTGACATGACAGGGATCTGGTATTGTAGTAAGTATTGACATGACAGGGATCTGGTATTGTAGTAAGTATTGACATGACAGGGATCTGGTATTGTAGTAAGTATTGACATGACAGGGATCTGGTATTGTAGTAAGTATTGACATGACAGGGATCTGGTATTGTAGTAAGTATTGACATGACAGGGATCTGGTATTGTAGTAAGTATTGACATGACAGGGATCTGGTATTGTAGTAAGTACTGACATGACAGGGATCTGGTATTGTAGTAAGTATTGACATGACAGGGATCTGGTATTGTAGTAAGTACTGACATATCAGGGATCTGGTATTGTAGTAAGTACTGACATATCAGGGATCTGGTATTGTAGTAAGTACTGACATGACAGGGATCTGGTATTGTAGTAAGTATTGACATGACAGGGATCTGGTATTGTACTAAGTATTGACATACTTATTCCTCAGCTCTGCTGGTGGGTGGACAGTTTTCGTCAAATTGGTTTTAAAGTTGAAGATTTTCAGTTTGAATGTTGGATTTCTAAACCCAGCCTGAAAAAAGAATATCATTCTCAGTATGCATTGATATTAGTGTGACAAATATTCGGATATCGTGTCCAACATATCTATTGAACGATGCCTGTATTGTAGTGAATTTCACTCGTCAAAGCCAAGTGTAGATGTTTATTGATTAAATGTAAAGTATTAGTTTGATGTTTTTTTGTGATGTTGCATGATATTGAATAGTAACTTACAGGTCGTAACCAACCTCTTCTGACTATGACTGTAGACATTGTATTGTATGACATACACTGTTACCTACATCACACATTGTATTGTATGATATGCACTGTTACCTACGTCAGACATTGTATTGTATGATATACCCTGTTACCTACGTCAGACCAGATCCCTGTCATGTCAATATTTACTACAATACCAGATCCCTGATATGTCAGTACTTACTTGTATATCATACAATACAATCTCTGACGAAGGTAACAGTGGATATCATACAATACAATCTCTGACGAAGGTAACAGGGTATATCATACAATACAATGGCTGACGAAGGTAACAGTGTATATCCTACAATACAGTGTGTGATGTAGGTAATAGTGTATATCATACAATACAATCTCTGACGAAGGTAACAGTGGATATCATACAATACAATCTCTGACGAAGGTAACAGTGGATATCATACAATACAATGACTGACGTAGGTAACAGTGTATTTCATACAATACAATGTCTACAGTCATAGTCAGAAGAGGGTGGATACGACCTGTAAGTTACTATTCAATATCATGCAACATCACAAAAAAACATCAAACTAATACTTTACATTTAATCAATAAACATCTACACTTGGCTTTGACGAGTGAAATTCACTACAATACAGGCATCGTTCAATAGATAATGTTGGACATGATATCCGAATATTTGTCACACTAATATCAATGCATACTGAGAAGTGCCCGTCATACAATTCAATGTCTGACGTAGGTAACGGTGTATATCATACAATGCAATGTGTGACGTAGGATACAGTGTATATCATACAATGCAATGTTTGACGTAGGTAACAGCTAGTGTATATCATACAATGCAATGTGTGACGTAGGATACAGTGTATATCATACAATTCAATGTGTGACGTAGGTAACAGCTAGTGCATATCATACAATACAATCTCTGACGAAGGTAACAGGGTATATCATACAATACATTTTCTGACGTAGGTAACAGGGTATATCATACAATACATTTTCTGACGTAGGTAACAGTGCATATCATACAATACAATGGCTGACGAAGGTAACAGTGGATATCATACAATACAATGGGTGATGTAGGTAACAGGGTATGTCATACAATACAATGTGGGACGTAAGTAACAGTGCATATCATACAATACAATGAGTGATGTAGGTAATAGTGTATATCATACAATTCAATGTGTGACGTAGGTAACAGCTAGTGCATATCATACAATACAATCTCTGACGAAGGTAACAGTGCATATCACACATTGTATTGTATGATATACACTGTTACCTACATCAGACATTGAATTGTATGACGTGCACTGTTACTTACGTCACACATTGTATTGTATGACGGGCACTGTAACCTTCGTCAGACATTGTATTGTATACCTATGGGCAGTATTTTTGTACTTTTATTTAAATACTAAGAAGTGTTAATATGAGCAAGAAATATGGATTACAGGAATGTAGCAGAAAATATATAAATATGTAGCTATTAAAATGTGAAAGGTTTATTGAATGTTCTTGTAGAGTAAAATAGAAAATGTCACATTAAATACTTACCTTCGGGTATGAAATGCGCTTCTGCATCCCGTAGGGGTCCTGCATGCTCCCATAGAGAGGATAGTAGTACTTCCTGACTTCTGTATCATTGAAGGAGGCAAACAGGAGAAATGAGCCCACAGGTGACCACCAGAGGGCGTGGTCTGATGCCAGGATCTCCTCTGTTAGGTATAAAAATAGCCAACACTGAGATATAAGACATCACTGTAGTCAGAATAGAAATAGTTATAAGAGACCACCTTTGGGAATTCCAAAAAGTGACCTCTTAATTAAGGAAGGCCCAAAAGGTGATATCTTAATTAAAGCAGGTCCAAAAAGTGTCCTCTTAATTAAGGCAGGTTCAAAAAGTGTCCTCTTAATTAAGGTAGATCCAAAAGTGACCTCTTAATTAAGGCAGGTCCAAAAAGTGTCCTCTTAATTAAGGCAGGTCCAAAAAGTGTCCTCTTAATTAAGGCAGATCCAAAAAGTGACCTCTTAATTAAGGCAGGTCCAAAAAGTGACACCTTAATTAATGCAGGTCCAAAAAAAGTGACCTCTTAATTACAGCAGGTCCAAAAAGGGTCCTCTTAAGTCTTTGACCAGTTAATTCCAATGTCACAGTAACTGCATAAACGTCTTTTTTCTTTGATTTGGTGAGTTAAAATTGGCTGCATTTTCCGTTACTTTTCCAAAATTTCGACATTGAGAATAGCTCAAGTGAAACCACAAAAAAATCTCACATATGAATTTTCTTGTTATGTTTCTGGGAATGTCAGTTCCTACAAATTCCTACACAAATCACAAAGTTCCTAAAAGATGACAAAATTAAGAACATATGGAACTGCCATTGATTTTCTGTAGAGGTCTAAAAATCTTTTCTACCAGACTGTGAATTCCCTTAAGTGGTTCGAGTCAATACCTCGATGACCTACAAAGTACAAGCTAATGACCAGCCAACACGAAAATAATTCAATGACCATATTTACGTGTCTCAAGCAGTAGGTACCCTGTCACTGATGTGTCTGAAGCAAGTACGTGTCTGGTGGCTGGTGAGGACACAAGGGGCATTTGAAAGGACAGAAAGTGGGAGGAAGGAAGAAAGGAGGGGGAGAAAATAGAGGGAATGGAGGGAGAGAAATGGGACAAAATAGAAGGATGGGAGGGAGATAAATGAGGAGGGATAAGAGGGGGAGATCGGGGAGGATTGAAAGGAATGATAGAATAATAGGACAAGAAAGAAAGTTGAAGGGAAGAAGGGAGGGAGACAATGGGAGGTATAAGATGGGGAGATCAAGGAGGATAAAAAAAAGAACAGAATGGAAATATAAAATGGTGATAGAATAATTTGACAGGACAGAAAGTGAAAGGGAGGAAGGGATGGAGAGAATGGGTAGGGATAAGATGGAGAGATTGGGAAAAAAAGAGGGAGATCGGGTAGGAGAATGGAAATGTGAAATGGTGACAGAATAATTGGACAGGAAGAAAGTGGAAGGGAAGAAGGGAGGGAGAGAATGGGAAGGGATTGGTGGGAGAGGAGGATGGAAAGGAAGAGAATGGAAATATGAATGCATGATGGGCAGGTTGACAAAATGAGTAGGGAAAAGGAAGAAGAGTAGATGGATGGTTAGAAGTTAGGATAAAAAGGGGTAGAAAACAGAGGCAAACGGAGAGGGAAAAGAGGGCAAGATAGGAGAAGGGAAGATAGGAGAATAGGGAGGGAGGCTTGGGAGAAGGAAGGGTATAATCTGATTTGATTTGGCTTTGATTCTACACCTTATTTCTCATTGGCAACAGCCAAGGTCAAATGGAGGTCATGGAAGTTTTAACAGCCAAGGTCACTTAGAGACCAGGACATGGTTGACAGCTACTGTAAGTTCATTGTGAGAGGGAAATAACACTGCTATGTAGAGGGTCATATTTATCTGGTGATCTATAGGATGGGACTATACAGGTAACCTGGTGATCTATAGGATGGGGCTATAGGGGTAACCTAGTGATCTATAGGATGGGGCTATATGGGTAACCTGGTGATCTATAGAATGGGGCTATATGGGTAACCTGGTGATCTATAGAATGGGGCTATAGGGGGAACCTGGTGATCTATAGGATGGGTAGATATGGGTAACCTGGTGATCTATAGGATGGGGCTCTAGGGGTAACCTGATGATCTATAGAATGGGGCTATACGGGTAACCTGGTGATCTATAGGATGGTGCTATACAGGTAACCTGGTGATCTATAGGATTGGGCTATAGGGGTAACCTGGTGATCTATAGGATGGGTAGATATGGGTAACCTGGTGATCTATAGGATGGGGCTTTATGGGTAACCTGGTGATCTATAGGATGGGGCTCTAGGGGTAACCTGATGATCTATAGAATGGGGCTATACGGGTAACCTGGTGATCTATAGGATGGGGCTATACAGGTAACCTGGTGATCTATAGAATGGGGCTATATGGGTAACCTGGTGATCTATAGGATGGGGCTATATAGGTAACCTGGTGATCTATAGGATGGGGCTATACGGGTAACCTGGTGATCTATAGGATGGGGCTATACGGGTAACCTGGTGATCTATAGGATGGGGCTATAGGGGTAACCTGGTGATCTATAGGATGGGTAGATATGGGTAACCTGGTGATCTATAGGATGGGGGTATATGGGTAACCTGGTGATCTAGAAGATGGGGGTATATGGGTAACACTGTACCTTCGTACACCCAGTCCGGAATTCCGTTGAAGATCTCCTCATGGTAGCCGTCATTGGTGATCTGTAGTGGCAGCACGTCATTCTGGGAAATGTCTGGTTTGTAGAAGATATTGTTATCCTGTACAAACACCTACGAACACAAAAATATTGTAGATTATATCGTGCTGTGAACACGAAAATATTACAGATTTGTATTCCATTAATCAACATGATGGGAACAGATTACAGTCAATAAATGATTTGATATGATTTTTTTTTTCTTTCTGTGATTCACACTATCTTGGTCTCATAGTGATTATGCTATTCATGACTGATATTGATCAATAGAAATATATCGCTTTCTCAAAAACAAGTTATCTCCCCTATTAGTCTTGATTAGACATTTACAGAAACAAGATGTCTAGTTACCATTTCAGTGACATCAATATTATTGAATATTCAAATGAACAAAGTGATACACATAGAGAACAGATGTTTTAACTTGAGATTATCAAGCATTAGGAAACGATAGGAATATTTAAGGATCCCTGTACCACTGCCAAAATGGTAAGTATTAATTAGTACTGAAAACTATTCTTTCTGGCATGACCAGCTTTGATAAATTATTTCTGAAAAGAAAACCATACCTCGCCGGACTTTAACCCTTTAACTACTGTAGATCAAAATGGACTCAACCAGATCAATGCATGGTAGAGTTTACTTAAGTTACATAGGGGTGAAAGGGTTAATGGGAAACGATAAAAATAAACAAATTATAGTCAACAACAGTGTTCTGAGTATACAAATTTAGTGGGGCTAGACCGGGATTCGAACCCAGGACTTCAGATTGTTATACCAGGGCTCTACCCGATGGAGCTACCTGGTTAACAGAAGTGTTGTGGCCCAAATGTGCTACAGTTATATTTAAACAGAAATTTAAGGGGAGGTAACTGTATATGAGACAAACTCCGTTTAGTGGGACAGGAATCCTTAAAGGGATGTAATATGTGATGCAATGAGATATGATACATTTATAAATGAGATATGATACATATAAATGAGATATGATACATATAAATGAGAGAAAATTTCAAATGTGACAGGATGAAATACAACAAGTTAATCCGATCGAATGAGATATGATAAGATGCTATGTATGGAGGTGAGACAAATTAATAAATTATATGTATGACGATGAGAAACAAGAGACACATACCACTCCGTGACCAGTGGGAGCCCAGCCCACATACTGGAAAATTTCACCTAGCGATGTCTCAAACACTCTTTGTTTCCTGGAAACCAAAATAAACAACATCACAACAAAGTTTGTTACAATCAATGTTTAACTCATTCACCCCTGAAGACATACCTGGTATTTGAACTCTTCCAGAAAACTTTTTTAAAAATCTTAAATTTCACACCTGGACTGAAACATTTGTATACTGCTAAAAAAATATAAACAATGTACATTACACATTCACATGTGATCCATTGGAAAGCTCAGTTGTTTAGGATTAATATAGCAACATCTACAAACATATTTATTCTCATTCTTTAAGTAACCTTACTTTGTCTGAATGTCATAATAGTTGTATGTGGCCAATTTGGAATGTCGATAGATCTGAAAAATAAAATAAAACATAATTTCGTTAAAGTCCTTTAGAAGAAGTTGTTTAAAAGAAAAAGATCTACCGATTCCTTTTCTGATTTCTGAGAAAGTGTATAAAAATTAAATATCCCAGTAATTTTGATAATTCTAAACAGAATTAACAAAAAACAGAAATCAACGGACATTACAGAGAATATAGGTCACCATTTCACTTCAGAGAAACTAGAAAACAAGAATGCCTGATTGATTGTTTGATATGCATATGATGACTATGAAACTGTGGTGTGTAGATCTGTAAGAACATTATAAGTCTAGAGGCTGTGCTATGACATTATAAGTCTAGAGCCTGTGCTATGACATTATAAGTCTAGAGGCTGTACTATGAAATTATAAGTCTAGAGGCTGTGCTATGACTTTATAAGTCTAGAGGCTGTGCTATGACATTAAAAGTCTAGAGGCTGTGCTATGACATTAAAAGTCTAGAGGCTGTGCTATGACATTATAAGTCTAGAGGCTGTACTACAATGTATGACATTATAAGTCTAGAGGCTGTGCTGTGACATTATAAGTCTAGAGGCTGTGCTACGACATTATAAGTCTAGAGACTGTGCTATGACATTATAAGTCTAGAGCCTGTGCTATGACATTATAAGTCTAGAGCCTGTGCTATGACATTATAAGTCTAGAGGCTTTGCTATGACATTAAAAGTCTAGAGGCTGTGCTATGACATTATTAGTCTAGAGGCTGTGCTATGACATTATTAGTCTAGAGGCTGTGCTATGACATTATAAGTCTAGAGACTGTGCTATGACATTATAAGTCTAGAGGCTGTGCTACAATGTATGACATTATAAGTCTAGAGGCTGTGCTATGACATTATAAGTCTAGAGGCTGTGCTATGACATTATAAGTCTAGAGGCTGTGCTATGACATTATAAGTCTAGAGACTGTGCTATGACATTATAAGTCTAGAGACTGTGCTATGACATAAAAGTCTAGAGACTGTGCTATGACATAATAATAATAATAATAAAATACAACATTTGATATAGCGCCCTATCTAGCTTACATAAACCACTCTAAAGCACTTTACAGTACATAGATATGCAATTAATACAATTAGGGTATACACATTTTGAGGAATTCGCAGGAGCTGCCTTATCTGGCACTAACTACTAGTCCTATGCCAACTGGCTAATATCTCCCTATGTGTGTATGCCTGCGTGTGTGCTGGAGATGTGATGTCTTCTGTTTGTTGTTGGACCATGCTTCCAACGGCATCTTTTATAGTGCCACCACACTTGAATGCTACATCACAGATACAGCAACATCCACCCCAGACCATTTTATACTCTACCTCATGGTTGTTGGAGTTGTGTGGGCAGGAGAAAAACACTTTCTCTGATATGCCATGCGTGCGACGACTACGGGAATCGAACCCTGGCCGCCTGCGTGGAAGGCCGAAGTGTTAACCACTCGACCAATCCGCCCATAACAATTGAGTTGATTATCAATATTAAGCCTTGTATGGCCTACACAACTGGTTGTATATCACTATGATATGTTTCAAAAGGCATTTAATAATGTAAAACACTTGGATGATATAATTTTTATAAACTTACCGGTCGCTCATCAAACGACAGGAGAGCGTACTTCTGGTCAGGTGATACCTGGTAAGAGTCTGTGTTGAGCTCCCTCTGAGAAGGTCAAAAGTCAAAGGTCACACATAGGTCAATAATTTTGCATAATGATGATGTTAACATTTAATAAACTTTTATTTAAGAAATGGATCTTGTTTTATCCATAGGATTATTTACATCTTTTATCCAAAGGAATATGTGCAATATTTTCTTTATCAAAAGGAATATTTACGAAAATTGTTTTATATACATAAATGTCTAAAAGCATTTTTTTGATTGACAAGATTATTTATGAACATCGTATTATACATGGGAATAAGGACCTACAAATGTTGTGTTATCAATAAAAATAATAACATAATAATAAATTGCTTTACATGTATATAACATAATACCTGGGATTGCCATCTTATCCATCAATATTTATTACAAATGACGTGTTATTTATAAGATACTTACGAATGTTGTGTTATCTATAAGATACTTACAAACGTCATGTTATTTATAAAAAATACTTACAAACGTCGTGTTATCCATGAGGACAGACGAGGAGTTATCAGAACACTTGTATATGACCACGGCGCCATCATCATTTCGATAGAGGAACTTATCATCTGTCAAATATGTTTGAATTTAATTAAAACAATTAATTAACAACAAATAAACAATAAATACAACTATTGATTAATAGAATCTTCCACTACCTTAAGGGTGTTACCAAGAAATCTTTTACTCGAGGGAAGATATTCTTGATTGTCTTACCTGAAGCTTTGCTGAGGATAAGACATTCGAGAATATCATACAGAGGGTTGGTGAAGTCACACCCTCAAAGTAGGAGATGATTGTTTTTCTTCAATCCTGTTTCACTCATAAATCTGCTGACATTAACCTGGTACATGGTATTTTTTTCCAGCAAATCCAGAGTTGTCTCCCCTGGTCTGCTACTGTTGACATGACGTCAATGCATTGATGACGTGATGTCATACTATTGTTATGACTTTAAATTTGATCGTGCATCTCCCCCTAGGGGATAGACACGCTGATCTGTTCCAGCTTAAAAGGGAGACACACCTATGAAGGGTGGGAGAATAAGATGTATATTCCTATCTGTACAGGATTCAGCCTGATCTTTCCTTTAGTTGTGAAGGGAGGGAGAATAAGATGTATATTCCTATCTGTACAGGATTCAGCCTGATCTTTCCTTTAGTTGTGAAGGGAGGGAGAATAAGATGTATATTCCTATCTGTACAGGATTAAGCCTGATCTTTCCTTTAGTTGTGAAGGGAGGGAGAATAAGATGTATATTCCTATCTGTACAGGATTAAGCCTGATCTTTCCTTTAGTTGTGAAGGTGAAGTTGTCGGGTACAAAATCTGTGAAATGTAAGTATGTCAACATGCCGAACAAGTTTGGATTCAAGCAGATATTCACCCTTGACATTTTGTAATGAACTATTCCAGCATTTGAATTGGAAGAGTTCAAATATGTCTTCAGGGGTGAATGAGTTTGGGTATTTGGGTTCCAAACCGTACAAATGTTTCCAATTTAAAGTAACTGCTATTTCGACCTAGAAACAACGACCCAAATATACGAGGTCGTCTGAACTAAATACTTGTATAAAATTTCATCAAAGTCATAACAACAATAAAGCTTGGAGAGGTTTTTCACGTTCTGTCGAGGCTTTCTACAGATGAAACGTGGACGCTGGGCAGCTTTGGAGCACGTTGGTGCCCACAGTATAAACTGAAGGCCTCCGAAGCAATAGCAATCCTTGTGTCCTGAGACTGTGAGATGCCGGGGAACACAAACGCTTCCAGTCCCACTACAGACGGCCTCCAAGTTTTGTTACGGCCTATTACGTACCGTCACATTTTTTTGCGTTCACTCCGTTTTACTAAGGCCTACTAGGTTTTGCCGTGGCAAATTTTTTAACAGTTTAAAAATCTGGCCCATTTTATCCATGGTGGCCTGAAACGGGATTGCTGTGGCCACCAGGAACATAATGTAAACATAGCAATAGATGAACAGTAAGATTTTACAAACACAACCCGTTACCTCATCTACATTATCAAGTGTTTGGCTTCATCCACCATTGCCAAATATCTTATAATCCATCATCCATAAATATGATTATACACGCTGCGTTCGGGGGCTGATCCCAGGGCTCCTCAACCCTGGCAGCCTCCAACAACCACTGAATATTCGCATACGCATATGTCAAAGATCTATGAAAATGAGAATATCAAAATGCTGAGGGATTAAAATTTGTATAAAAAAAACCAACAACATAAATACGATTTTGATATTAGATGACACACATTCTTCCTACATCTGCATTGGATGGATCTTGACCCTTTCACCCCTATGCAACTTTAGTAGACTCTGCCAGGCATTGATCTGGATGAGTCCATTATGGTCTACAGTAGTGAATCGAAAGGGTTAATCAGGTGGAGGTCTGTGATTTGGGAAATTGATTTGGTCTTACTATTTTTAGAAAGAGCAGGTCAATATTCATTTGATGACATATACTTATTTCAATTATTGTAACGTCACAATGCTCTGTGCCAAATGCAGTATACTAATTCCTCCTTACAATTTTCATACATTCCATCTTGTTTGATAATTCAAACATTATTTAACATGTAATAAAACCATAAAGGATTTCTATTTCCGTGAATATGTGGTTTATCTATATTGACCTGTAAAAGTTATATCACTTTCTTAGGTCCATATAACGACATCATTTTATTACTCACCACAACAAAAGTCAATAATGATTAATACAGCATTGTTATTCATGTCGATGGTATTGCATACTTTGTCTAAGACTATCATATTTGGTATATTTTCCTCAATGATAAAGAATTACTCTTATCTCTACTTTGCGACAAACATAGCAAAAACCTCCAAAATAATAAGTGCCCCTTGAGACAACTTTGACAGTGATTTCTCCTACTTAGCCTAGGGTTGTGCTAGCCTGTAGCAATTACCCCGTACTATATAGAGTCGATTCCGATCCTGTGACCAAGCTTACGAGTGAAGCCACTGTCTTGGGTTACACCAATAATCAATGAGAGAGACCGAAGCAGTCTTTGTTCCCTGTTGATATTGGTGAAAGGGAAACAAAAGTGAGACAAAAATTTCCATATTTTGTCTTTCAGTACACAGCTAGGCACTAAGTTTATCCAACAAAAAACGATAATTAAAAAAACTCATTTAAATAAGGACTGGCTCTCATATTGACCAGTGTAGAGGTTCTGGACTAGTATTTCTTTAATTCGTTTTTATTATTGTCAAACTTACCAACTTTATGAAATTTCAATGGGGGGATTATGCAAGCTCATAATTAAATAAAATATGGGTATGTACACCCTATGGGGAAAACAGCAGGTATAAATGACATAAAGTGAAACCTGTATTACGAGACCACCCCTGAAAAGTCCAAAGACTGGTTTCTACACAGGTACAAGTGGTCTCTACACAGGTACGAGTGGTCTCTACACAGGTACAAGTGGTCTCTACACAGGTACAAGTGGTCTCTACACAGGTACAAGTGGTTTCTACACAGGTACGAGTAGTCTCTACACAGGTATGAGTGGTCTCTACACAGGTATGAGTGGTCTCTACACAGGTATGAGTGGTCTCTACACAGGTACGAGTGGTCTCTTCACAGGTACGAATGGTCTCTACACAGGTATGAGTGGTCTCTACACAGGTACGAGTGGTCTCTACACAGGTATGAATGGTCTCTACACAGGTACCAGTGGTCTCTACACAGGTATGAGTGGTCTCTACACAGGTACGAGTAGTCTCTACACAGGTATGAGTGGTCTCTACACTGGTACGAGTGTTCTCTACACAGGTATGAGTGGTCTCTACACAGGTACGAGTGGTCTCTTCACAGGTACGAATGGTCTCTACACAGGTATGAGCGGTCTCTACACAGGTACGAGTGGTCTCTACACAGGTATGAATGGTCTCTACACAGGTGTGAGTGGTCTCTACACAGATATGAGTGGTCTCTACACAGGTACGAGTGGTCTCTACACAGGTATGAATGGTTTCTACACAGGTACCAGTGGTCTCTACACAGGTATGAGTGGGCTCTACACAGGTACGAGTGGTCTCTACACAGGTACGAGAGGTCTCTACACAGGTATGAGTGGTCTCTACACAGCTATGAGTGGTCTCTACACAGGTATGAGTGGTCTCTCCACAGGTACGAGTGGTCTCTTCACAGGTACGAATGGTCTCTACACAGGTATGAGTGGTCTCTACACTGGTACGAGTGTTCTCTACACAGGTATGAGTGGTCTCTACACAGATATGAGTGGTCTCTACACAGGTACGAGTGGTCTCTTCACAGCTACGAATGGTCTCTACACAGGTATGAGTGGTCTCTACACAGCTATGAGTGGTCTCTACACAGGTATGAGTGGTTTCTACACAGGTATGAGTGGTCTCTACACAGGCATGAGTGGTCTCTACACAGGTATGAGTGGTCTCTCCACAGGTACGAGTGGTCTCTTCACAGGTACGAATGGTCTCTACACAGGTATGAGTGGTCTCTACCCAGGTACGAGTGGTCTCTACACAGGTATGAGTGGCCTCTACACAGGTATGAGTGGTCTCTACACAGGTATGAGTGGTCTCTTGCTAGTGGTGGCTGCACAAGCAGGTGATTACATGTACACTTCTCCTGTTTTGATAATATTTTGCAGCTTTTTTTTAAAAAGATCAGCAGACTGGATAAATAGTTGGTTTCCAAAACATTTATTCACAGCAGTGGTTGTAAGAAATATAGTATAAACTCTCTAAAGAATTTTTCTCATTTTTTTTTTATTGTATTTTGACCCTTTTTCATTTACTTTCATTAAATTTGGGTCATCATCGTTTGAATTGACAAATTCGGCTAATTTTTCAAAGCCCTATAATTATAAGCTTAATGAAATGTTACTAAACAATAACTTAACTGAAAAGTAGGATTGATACTATATGTATGGGAAATCAAAACACATGATAATATTGAACTTTTTTATTTATCTGATTTTCCTCTTTTTTTTTGTTCCTTTTGTTCTTGTCTTTATCTTTTTTTATTTTTTTTTGAAAATTTTAGTTCAGGACTCAAATCAAATTAAAAATGCTTTTCGAAATTGAGCTTAAAAACCTGATATCCCCAACACAAAGGACTCTTTGTTTGAAGGATTGTTCAGTTTGGAATGACATCATTTTTCTTAGGCTTCTTTGAATTTTTCTTTAAATCATCGCACCATATTTGATATTACCAACATTTACGACTATAATTTGCCCAGATTCTAATCAAGTGCTAGGTTCTTTTCCCTGACGATTCTTATTATGATGGCAACAGATGTGTAGGCGACAACTTTCTCATCAATCATGCTTCATTGATCACCTGTCCTCCAGGGGGTGTTACCCAGGAGCCGAAACATACGTAAAGGTCACACCTTGGTAACAACCATGGTTACCAAGCTTGTCTCCACAAATTCTTGTTAAGATGTAATTAACCGTGCTACATTTCGTGGAGTTTTCCAGTACTATGCTGCTGGTAGCTATAGCCTCTAACTTAAGACTGTCTTTTACAAAATAGATGGAGCCCACCATTACAGAAATGAACAGTTCAACTTTGACCCAGAATGATAAAAATGTTTCCAGCTTATCTAGGGTCGCTTAAAAGCCTATTCAGTACCTAATTCTGGGGTTGTTTTGAGCCAAACTTTAGCACATATATCTAGGGTCGGGTTGCGTAAAGATTTTAGCTATAGCAAAAATACATCTCAGGGATTGCTCAGATCCAAACTCATATTTTGGAGTACATTTGATTTATCTGGCATTGATCAGAGTCTTGCTTGCTTTACATATTCTGTGTTTATTCAGAATTTCTGTAAAATTGTCATGTAGAAGCAAGCTCACTACTATTGTGTTTCTCAGAACCTATTTTACTTCATAGTTTGTTCAGCTCAAGGCTATAAGCTCATTTCCTTCAGTCTAGCCCACTTTTTGAGTCATTCCGAGTCTAGCATATCTATCAAAAGATAAAAAATAACCTCACTTTTTTGGAGTTATTCAGATTAACAGGTTAGCTCCCTTCTGCAGGCATCTGCAGCATTTAGCTCACACTTAAGGTTTCTCATTTACCAGAGTCTAACTTGTTAACGGAGGCACGATTATCTAGTGGTTGGACGATGGGCTCGTGACCAAAGGGTTGCAGGTTCGAGTCACATCACAGCACTGAGTTGTATCTTTGAACAAGATACTTTACTGCACTTGTTCCAGTCTTATCAGCTGTAAATGAATATGTGGTTGGGCAGTGCTAGAATTGTTGAATGCCAGCTGTGAGCACCGAAATGGCAGCACCGGCTGTATGCTCCCCAGGGATTTGAATAAGATATGTGTTAGCTGGTTGCAAAGGCCCTATAACCATGGATAATAATCTATGAACCACTTTGAGACAACCTACGAACTAGGTTGTGATAAAGCGACATATAAGAACCTCAAATTGTTATTATTATTTCTTTCCATTGAGAGCCTATAGCTCGATCATATATCTTGGTCTGCCCAAAATTCAGCTGATTTACTTAGAGTCACTCAGAGTCAAGCTGCCCTTTCGGGGGTTGCTAATTCTTACACTCCAGATCATATATCTTGGTCTGCCCAAAATTCAGCTGATTTACTTCTAGTCATTCAGAGTCGAGCTGTCCTTTCACGGGTTGCTAATTCTTACACTCAAGATCATATATCTAGTGCTTCTCCCACTGTCTCTACACAGTATTTTGGGTTTCTAAGGGGCTAAACTTGCTTCTCTAGGTTTGCTTAGAGTCTGGCTCATATTTAAATGTTCAAACCTGCATTAAAACAGATATCAACTATTTTCTTACCTTTTATCCAAATTGGATGGAAGGATTTTGGTTTTAGCTCCCCTCTCAAGAAATCTTCAAAACTGAATTTTTCTCGTTTATCTTCTTTCGGCTTAGCTGTAATACAAAAGAAACATTTTAAATGCAAGCTCACTATATCCTTTGAGTTAAATATGACAAACCGGAGATTTTTTGCTCTGTTTCATGAATATCATATTTGTCATAATTAGCGCCCAGGTTGCATGAAATAATTGGCTGAAGGGAGTACTTCTTGGGTTAAAATAACATATTATGTTGTGGCTCTTTTTTTTAACGACAACCTAACTGTTGGACACTTCCCCAGAGGAAATTAAAATATTGTTCTCTTTTTTAATTTTTTCATGAACACTGGAAAAAGTGTGAAATCATGAGACTGATATCAATTTTATATAGAATAGTGTTCGATATTTATTTTGTTAATCAGTTTAAGATGGCCATTAAATAAGTGCTGCAAAAAGGAGGGGCGCTTATAAGCTGAGAGGCACTGATTATGATGAATACCGTATGACATAGACAGAGAAATACTGGGTGTTTTATAGGGTAAATATGGTATAAACACACATGCATACACAACATATACCCAATACACATACAGCATTCACAACAAACTCTTGTTTCTACACCATGATGCCAACATTCCATTTGACACAAGCTTACACAACATAAGGTACACATGCACCTTTATATATATATATATTATGCACCTGTTATTCTTTAATCCATTAATCTATAACCCATCATCAGGATTTAATATCTTCAGATTTGTTTTTTAAATAAATAAAATTAGTTGATATTGTAAAAGTTGCAATTGAGAACACATTTAAAATTATTCCTTCACATGAACTGTATTCATCGGAAAACTTTTGTCCTGTCAAAATTATTCACCCATCACCAGCAACTCTATTTTTGCAAAAATGTTTATTTCAACCTTCACATGTAATATAAAACTGCAGGCTGTGCTGTGTACTTATATTAACTGTCACGATAATTTGCATCATGACAGAGGGAAAAGAGGCAAACATTTAACTGCAGCAGAAATGTTCTACTGTACTGTAATTCAACTCACAAGACTAGGGCCCATACTCATGAAACCATTATCATGCTCAAACATGGATTTTGTGCTCAATCAACACTTTTGTAACTCACTTAAATCATGTAAAACGATCAAAGCGTCAAATGTAAACATTTAAAACAGTATTCAAGTTTAAGACTTACAACCACAACAACAAAAGTCGTCTCTCATCCTTAAAAAGTTACAAAAAGATCATAAAACTGCAGTTTGAATTAACATAAAATTTCATAATGAATTATTTCAACCTTTGAATTGGAAGAGTTCAAACGTGTCTTCAGGGGAGATTGAGCCATTATGCTGTAGAATTTGGAAAGGGGAGGTAATCCAGGAGTCTATTACCATTAATTGATTTTGTTATGAAATATGTACTGAAATTGATTGTCCTGGGAACTAATCAGTGTGTTGGTTTCCACTTCCTATTGATTGTGACATTCACAATGTAAACACGTGTGTTTTTAGCTAATTAATCTTACAACACACCAAAACCATATATGCATGTATACATCGATCATCAATAGAAGTCAATAGAAGTTACAAGTTGTTGTGTCATCCGTAATTGTTTAGTAAAATTTAGCTCATTTCCTGACACAGGATCTGACATGCACGGTCAAAGTAGAAACTATCATGGAGTTCTAATACTTGTATTTCTCATGTTGGAACAAATTAACGCAAAAACATCTACAAATAAATGCATTATAGATATACAGAACTTATAGATTTGAAAACCATTCCTAACGCGAAAAATCCAACGTCTCAATTATTTTAGCGACTCACGAAAAAAATATTTCCATCTTTGCTAATTTCCCCTTTTACACTAAATAAAAAACAACACCTGTGATTTTTTTTTTAATTTTGCACATCACAACTGTTAGTTTGGAATCGTAAATCAGTTCCTGATCAATCCAGCGTTTATCAAGTCTGTTTGAAATGTATTTATTGATGGTGCTGATCGATACTTCTGGAAGACTGTTCCATAATCATGGCGTTCTCCCTTTTGTTTTGGTGTCGTCTTTTGTCCTATCTACTGTTAGTTTTAATTTTGAGCTTGTGTGCTGACCTTGTAATTTATTTTTAGTATTTTTTCAGATCTCACATGACGAGAATAATTTCACTTCTCCTAGATAAAAGAAAACTGTTTTCTTATTTCAATGTTTGAAAGTTGAGGATAAGTATTCTTGAATGACCCCGTTTAAAAGTAGCATTATACATATACCCTTAACTCATTCACCCCTGAAATTTCATAATGAACTATTCCAACTGTTGATTTGGAAGAGTTCAAATGTGTTTTCAGGGGTTAATGAGTTAAGGATCCTTGTCCCACTGCAGGCAAATCTATACAATCAGTTACCTCCCCTTAATTTTGTTTAGTATATAACTGTAGTGTATCCAATGTGTAGTAACGGTTTTGGTAGTAATCCAACAGTACATACACACAGTAGCCTCCCCTTAATTTGTTTGGATATGTATAAAACTGTTTCATATGTAAAGGTTTTTGGCAGTTGTGCAGGTATCTTTAAGATTTAATGTCAATGAAACAGAAGTAACAGCAGTAACTCGTAAAATTACTCCTGGCATTCTCAAAAGATAGAAATTTCCTAATCGTTATTTAAGTTAAAAGGAACTGTTTCTATTTAATTTGCCGAAAGTGCTGTTACACCCTTCCACAAATTAGCCTTCTACAGTTATAAAACTGGATCACCATTTATTTCATGAAAACATTTACATTTTCTATGCATTAATAAACACCTGATGCTATTAAGAAGGCTTAAAAGTAAATTGAAAATTTCTTCTGCCCAAACATTTCTGTCAGATGAGCTCATGTATAATGGAAACTCTGGGGCTGTTGAGCTGAATCATATTACTATAAAGTGTTCCCAGACTGATTGTTGGAGGTTTGTACCTCTTTCCTACAGGTAAGGGAGTAATGCCACACCAGTAGCCACAAATTATGGGGCTCACTTAAGAGGCACTTTAAGGATCTTTTTACCACTGCCAAAAACCTATATGCATCGGAATCTGTTTTTCCAGCATGGCTATAGCTCTGATGAATGATCTCTGAAAAGGAATCACACCTGGCCAGACTTTTATGAAAATTGATAAATATAAAAAAACATAAAAAAACATAATGAACAAGAATGTTCCGAGTGTGAAGTCAGCATAGTCAGACTAGGATACAAACCCTGGACCTCAGACTGCAATACTGGCACTCTAACCAACTAAGCTATACCTGGTCAACAGCATTCTTCTGCACAGTTGCACTACAGTTCTATCCAAACGAAATTAAGGGGAGGCTACTGTGTTTTGCTGGTGGTGGGACAGGAATCCTGAAACAAAGGAAATTAAGGGGAGGCTACTGTGTTTTGCTGGTTGTGGGACAGGAATCCTTAAACAAACGAAATTAAGGGGAGGCTACTGTGTTTTGCTGGTGGTGTGACAGGAATCCTTAAACAACTGAAATTAAGGGGAAGCTACTGTGTTTTGCTGGTGGTGGGACAGGAATCCTTAAACAATTGAAATTAAGGGGAAGCTACTGTGTTTTGCTGATGGTTGGACAGGAACCCTTAACCAAATGAAATTAAGGGGAGGCTACTGTGTTTTGCTGGTGGTGGGACAGGAATCCTTAACCAAATGAAATTAAGGGGAAGCTACTGTGTTTTGCTGATGGTTGGACAGGGATCCTTAACCAAATGAAATTAAGGGGAGGCTACAGCGTTTTGGTGGTGGTGGGACAGGAATCCTTAAACAATTGAAATTAAGGGGAGGCTACTTTGTTTCGCTGGTGGTGAGACAGGAATCCTTTAACAGAGTCTTCCAACCTTTCCACATACAGGAGAGGGAGTTAAGATGTCAAGATTGCCGGAGATTTGAGACTGTGTTTCCTCATTAACTTGTAGCCTGTAAGAAGAGACCCATTAATCAGCCTCTGTATCACAATCAATGTCCAGTCGTTAGCTTGTCCTAATGGATGGTCACTCCGACTAAGTCAAAGTAACAGTCAATTTATCACTCATCAGTTCCTCTGGATGACCATTGGTCATTCACATCTCTTAGCCATCATAAATGCTGGAAGAGGACTAGATAATTATAGCATGAAAGGTAATATATTCATGTCTTATGGCTAGGCTGATATTCCAGTAAGCTAGCTTTGTAAGGCAACTTGATTACAACCAGGTATTATAAGATTTCTGGATGAACTATTGAGCAATTCATTGTTCAAAGCTCAGTCCTCCATGTTGGCTCTGTTCAGTTACGGTCTATTCTGAAGTCTTATTTCTGAATTCTATTCCAATCGCCCGTCCCCATGCCCTTATAGACCCCTCCCTTACTCCACCCCCGTCATATAAAATGGCGTCCTGCACCCCTCTGCTCCCAATTCCTTTATTTCCCCTCTTAGCTCTACTGTCTGGAGACTCCTGCATTTACAAATCCAATCTCTCCTTACTATTCCATCTCTAATGATTCTTATCAGAATTTATTTATTTAAACTATTTTCATCTTTTCGACGTGGATTGGGGATCCTAAAAGCATTTTAGTACAGTAAATAGAATATCTCCAAATATCTGTCACCTGTCCTTTCCCCCATTTCCCCCTGGGTAGCCTCTGGCCCAATAGGAACTATTCCCCTCTTTCCCAATGGAACCCCTCAACCACCAAACAAATATGCATTGTTTTTGTAATCAATGATCATTGACAAACACACAAGGCCTACTCCAAACAGGTTGAAAATAAACACAAATTGATTTCGAACAAAACATGTATATTCAATCCCCATTGACGTCATGGTACAGCAAATAATTGGACTGGAGCAAGAACACCAAGGACAGGTGTTTTTATCGAACAACTCCGAATACAATTTGATACCTCTACAATATACAGCGTCATTACGAACTTGGTCTATATCAGGTCGTCTTCAATCACTGGGTCAATGACATTCCCTGCTGATTGACGTTTCGTGTAATCATGACCACAACATCAAAATAACTGACCAGTGGTCACAACTGTTCAG